AGGTAGCCAGCCAAGCCTTCCCATACCTCTGATCGCCTCTCCCCCTCAAACGACAGCTGAACCACCTCATCAAGCTCCATGAGAAGAGGAGTGAACAGAAACAATGATGCGTTGAAAATATGATGAGGCGTGTGGTAGAGAGAGAGAGAGAAAGAAAATCGCTCTCAGTGGAGAAGATGGAACGCCTCATTTGAAGCAAAGGGTTCAAAACTCTGCGGCATCCACAGGGCGACCTCCCTCCAGATGTTACGCAGTGGAAGTCTCAAGCTGCTGGAGTTTCTAAAACATTCGACCAACAGCTTCGCCCAGCTGGCCCGTCCAACATTCCCCAGCAGCAGCAGCAGCCTCGTGAACCAAGTGGCTGCGTGGCTGGATTGTGTTTGTTTGGGATGCGCTCGCTTGCCGAGTGTCGCTGACTGGGTGCCCACGTGACCGCACGCACACCTTGTGGGCAGGTAAACAGACCGCATTGCAGCCTTAGGAAGCAATAAAACAACAGATTATACACTCTGCTACCATTCTAAGCAATCAATATTTGATATCCCACTTGACTTGTTTTTTTTATCGGGACGATCTCCTCTGTGTCCTCAAGACCGCTGATAATCGAGATCGCCTGGGCATTCCTTGCCAGGGTCAACTCAGCCCAGCATCCCTTCTGCGGGCGATGACATCAGCGCCGCCATCCGAGGCTTCGTCGCCGTATGGGAAAATCGCCAGAGGTTGTTCCACGGATAGACTGGTTCCTGCCAGGGTAACATGGAATTTCCACCGCTGACTCAAGCCCATTAATGAAGGCGGGCACCAGCAAGCACTCTGTTGAGCTTGACCCTTCTCGACCACCATCAGTTGTCACGTGTCTGGAGTGGCTTCAGTCATGATCCATGTCCACATTTGCTTTGCCATCATTTGTAGATGTTGCATGAGAAGTGTCGTGACTCCACGGCCCGTCTTCATACCCCAAGAGCTGGGTCACGGCACGCGCATGTAGCGGTGTGTTTGGCTGACAGCCGACTTCCGTGTGTGACTCATACAGGCGCTGTGGCCGTGGTGTCTTCACCGCATGAGGACGATGCGTCGTGCATATACTGTGCCGAGCAGCGTGCCCGGGTTGTGCCAGATGGTCTCGGTATCGGGTTCTTCGTGACTTGGGCTCACGCTGATTGGGTTGTAAGACCCCAATGTGAATCGCGTAGCGTTTGAACTTCTCTGCAAAAAAAAGCTAGAGGAACCCGAGTTTGCGTCACCGTCTCCTGTGAGGCCGCTGGGATTTACTTTGGCACGGTAGCATCGTCGGGCACAACCTCGTGCACAAATTCCAGGCACCGCCCATCAATCAGCGCATTAATTCAGATGATGCACTCCGTGGTCCCACCGCACAACACAAACCCTACTCCCGCACAGCTCCTCGGCAGTCGCAAGGTGCTGACGCTGCGGCGCTCTGGGCTCGCGTGGCGCTTGCTGCAGATGTTCACGGTTCGAGTCCAGCGGCCGACCCGGTTAATACTGCGGTGGATGCAATCATTGTAATAATACTACGTGGCCGTTCGCTGCAAGGTGGACGTTAAAGACCCCTTGAGGAGGCCATTTTGTGCTGGCATCGTATTGCGTAACCTTTCAAAGTTGCCACGTTCGAAAATTTCCTGCAAATGACTCAATTGAAACTATACATAGCAATCATCACCCACGACTGACAGATTGATGCCCCAGGTCATGCTTGCAAATGAGACTCACCCTGGTCTCTTGAGTTCTCAACTGGTGAAACAATAAACTCAACACGCTAACTGCACCCCCCATAACTCCCATCACCCACCAACAGTGACGTCACCACGGCCCCTGTGCCAGGCCAGGTGCACTTTGAGGCCACGTGAAGTGTCGAAGGTTCGCTGCTGGCAGGAGGTCTCGGGACAATCCCAGCAGGTGCCATGGGTCGGCTGACTGAGATAACCGGTAGATGCACCACCAGCTGTACCCCTACCGTGCCAGGCTAGGTGCATGAGGTCATGGGACAGACCCAGCAGGTGCCATGGGTCGGCTGACTGAGATGACCGGTAGATGCACCACCAGCTGTACCCCGACCGTGCCAGGCTAGGTGCATGAGGTCACGGGACAGACCCAGCAGGTGCCATGGGTCGGCTGACTGAGATGACCAGTAGATGCACCACCAGTTGTACCCCTACCGTGCCAGGCTAGGTGCATGAGGTCATGGGACAGACCCAGCAGGTGCCATGGGTCGGCTGGACTGAGATGACCGGTAGATGCACCACCAGCTGTACCCCTACCGTGCCAGGCTAGGTGCATGAGGTCCTGGGATAGACCCAGCAGGTGCCATGGGTCGGCTGACTGAGATGACCGGTAGATGCACCACCAGCTGTACCCCGACCGTGCCAGGCTAGGTGCATGAGGTCACGGGACAGACCCAGCAGGTGCCATGGGTCGGCTGACTGAGATGATCGGTAGATTCACCACCAGCTGTACCCCTACCGTGCCAGGCTAGGTGCATGAGGTCACGGGACAGACCCAGCAGGTGCCATGGGTCGGCTGACTGAGATGACCGGTAGATGCACCACCAGCTGTACCCCGACCGTGCCAACTTGCTGCACTTTAGCCGCCCGGTGCTCCACTCACACACACATTCGCACCACCCTCCCGAGTCATCGTCCCGTGCCCGTCTGCTCGTCACCGAGGCGGTGGTGCTGCTGCGCCAGCCGCTGATGGGGGAGCGTGAGACTCTTGGGGCTCCGTGGATGCGGGGCTCGCGGTGTCCCCCACCGCACGGGGGTCACCCGATCGCAGGCGCCCTTTTGTTGGCGTCCGACTCCCCGAGCGCACGATCCGGTTACCGCTGCGGGTTCTTTTTGTGCTGCGAAAATCTCCGCTCGGTTTTTCAATTCCCCACCCACGGCTCTTCGACCCAAGCGAGTGCCGCATTCCGCCGTGTGCGCACAATGCTTGGGTCGGTATTTACAAAAACACTGTAAGTCGCGGGTCTCTTGCATAACGAGTTGGTTGTGACACGTGGGTGTACTTCGCGTGAGTGGTGACTTGTGAGCGAGACGCTCTCACGAAGACTGATTCATGCCCTCGCCGCATTCGGATGAACGACGCCGCTCACAGCTCCTTCGGAAATGTCAAATTAAACAGATCCGCGGCCGTGCAACCCACGGGCTGTAGAGTAACCCCGCAGAGACGCGCGTATACTCAGAGACGCGTACAGACGCACAGAGACCCCAGTGAGATACATAGAAGCCCATCGAGATGAGTTAAAGACAAGCCGCAGTCCTGCATTGCGATGCGTGTGTGTTGAACTTCTTTCGCACCGTACATAGCCAACCGCGGCGAATCGAGGGTGCGATTGTGGACCCTGCAGTCAACCACTGTAGCCTTCGTTCCTTCTACGGGGGGGGGAGCGACACGGCACCAACTCTGCCTGTTGGAGCCGTCTGGCCGCGGCACTGAGCGCCTGAGCGTGCTACTGGCCATCGTAGGCAGGGACAGAATGTCACCCTCACGCGTCCCTCGCCTCCTACCCCTCGCGCCCTCCACTACTGAGGCGTGACTCGATGCGTGTGGGCCCGTGCCACCGCGAGGCCCTCTCTCTGTGTGTGTGTGAGAGAGAGAGGAGCGGTGGCACAGTGGTTAGCGCACTGCGCTACGAACCCGGCCATCCGAGTTCAATTCTCGCTCACGGTTAAATTCAGGGGCGAATATCCGAAGCGGTCCTGGGCCGCCCCTAGGTTGACTCGGCATTACATGAGCAGGTGCCTTGCGCGGTGTTTAAACATCAGCAGCGGGGAGACCAAGGAGGCTGACCCGTGGTGTGTGGCCACCACCTATAGGCGCTCGCGAACAGCACTTGCCCCAGCACCTTGCGCAGGCTATACTGGAGATCTTTGCCTTCCTACTGTTGTGTTTCTGCGTTTGTGTGCGAGTGTGTGTGGGTGTGGGTGTGTGTGCGAGTGTGTGTGTGTGCGAGTGTGTGTGTGTGCGGGTGTGTGTGTGCGAGTGTGTGTGCGAGTGTGTGTGTGTGTGTGTGCGGGTGTGTGTGTGTGTGCGCGAGTGTGTGTGTGCGGGTGTGTGTGTGCGAGTGTGCGGGTGTGTGTATGCGAGTGTGTGGGTATGCGCGAGTGTGTATGTGTGCGAGTGTGTGTGTGTAATCCTGACTGACTGTAGGTGTGTGAGTGTCGCCACCCGGTGCGTCTGTGTGACTGCCTGTGAAAATGCGTGAGTGAAAGTGTGTGTCTCACTCAGTGTGTGTGTGTGAAACGGCCTATGACACTGTGTGTCTGTGTGAGTGTGTGACACTGTGTGTGTGTGACACTGCGTGGCTGTGTGAGTGTGTGACGCTGTGTGAGTGTGTGACACTGTGTGTGTGAGTGTGTGACACTGCGTGTCTGTATGAGTGTGTGACACTGTGTGAGTGTGTGAGTGTGTGACACTGTGTGAGTGTGTGACACTGTGTGAGTGTGTGACACTGTGTGTCTGTGAGTGTGTGACACTGTGTGACACTGTGTGAGTGTGTGACGCTGTGTGTCTGTGTGAGTGTGTGACACTGTGTGAGTGTGTGTGTGACACTGTGTGACACTGTGTGAGTGTGTGACACTGCGTGGCTGTATGAGTGTGTGTTGCTGGTGTTCAGCTACGTGAGCTATTTGTTTTTATCAGATGCCCCCTTCCCCCCCTCCCTTCCAGGTGAGCGGCGGGCAACACGCCGGGGCCGCGTGCCCCGGCGCAGTTTCGCCACCGCGACCACAACCTCCCCAACCAGTTCTGGGCCGGCGGGGCAACATCCCGACACGACAAACCTCCTCCTCCTGCTGCCGCTACTGCCGCTGCTGCTTCTTACATAACGAGCGCCACTCTTATGCATCAGGCGCCACCCAGCACGCTCGTCGGCCCCGCGAGGTGGCGGAGGAAGCCGTCCCAGTGACAGGGAACTCCTCGCCCCCCCCCGCCCCCCCCCCCACGGGCGCACGGAGTCGCGAGTCGGAGCAGTGCTCGCCAGGCTCCCCGTCGCCATGGCTCCCGGTCGCCTTGGACCCCCCGTGCTCCTCGTCCTCCTCCTCCTCCTCGTGCCGCTGCTGTTCTCGTCTCTCGCCGAGGGGGCCCCTGCTGCCGCCGCGGTCCCCGGCGCCCCGGGCCCCCCGCGGCAGGCCAACGACTCCGGCTGGTCCGTGGAGTCGGGGCACGGCTCCCTGCCGGGCCACACCAAGGTGCCCAAGGGCGACTGGCGCCTCAGCGTCCTCTCCATCGACTACAGCGCCGTGCAGTACCCGCTCGAGGTCACGCTCTGGATCATGCTCGCCTCCATCGCCAAGATCGGTGCGTGCGTGCGTGCGTGCGCCCCACCGCGCCATCGCCTCCTCCCTGCTGCCAGGTCTTCGCCTCCTTCCTTCTACCAGATCACCATCACCTCCTTTCCTCGACCAGATTATCACCACCTCCTTTCCTCGACCAGATCACCGCCGCCTTCCTTCTACCAGATCACCAATTCCCTCCCTCTACCAGATCACCATCACCTCCTTCCTTCTACCAGATCGCCATCACCTCCTTCCTTCTACCAGATCATCACCACCTCCTTTCCTCGACCAGATCACCACCTCCCTCCCTCTACTAGATCACCATCACCTCCCTCCCTCTACTAGATCACCATCACCTCCTTTCCTCGACCAGATCACCAACTCCCTCCCTCTACCAGATCACCATCACCTCCTTGCTTCTGCCAGATAATCACCTCCTCCCTTCAGCTAGATCATTCCCTTCTCTCTTTGACAGAGCTCGCAGCAGTTTTTACAGCCAGCACCTGACCTCCAGAGACCCACGACCAATCCGGTTGATACCATCTCTTCCTTCCTTCTGCCAGTTTCACAGCGTCAGCTGATCTTTCCATCACGCTCGTATTATCCTCGAACAAGATGGCTTATATCGTTTGAGCGGAGTAGATTCTTCTAATTCGATTTGGAAATTCAACAGTGGATGATCTCTCCTCCTTGCAATGGGAGGGGGGCTCTGTTCCTTGTTGCTGCACTGCACTGGGCCGGACCCGCGGTGTTCGTAGTCGTGAGCTCTTCCCCTGAGCATCGGGCGATGAGACGGAAGGCTGCTAGCGATGTGGTTGTTATTCGTTGTTGCCCCATTGCCTTCGTGAGGCGCGCTCCGCTTACTCGTGTGGTGACGAGCCATGCTCGTCACTTTTGCCATCGGAAGTGTGAGCGCGCCTGTGTGTGTGTGCGTGCTGTGTGGTAGTGTAGCGCGCCTGTGTGTGTGTGCTGTGTGTGTGTGCGCGCCTGTGTGTGTGCTGTGTGGTAGTGTAGCGCACCTGTGTGTGTGTGTGCGCCTGTGTGTGTGTGCGCTGTGTGGTAGTGTAGCGCGCCTGTGTGTGTGTGTGCTGTGTGGTAATGTAGCGCGCCTGTGTGTGTGTGCGCCTGTGTGTGTGTGTGCTGTGTGGTAGTGTAGCGCGCCTGTGTGTGCGTGCTGTGTGGTAGTGTAGCGCGCCTGTGTGTGCGCGCTGTGTGTGTGTGCGTGCTGTGTGTGTGTGCGTGCTGTGTGGTAGTGTAGCGCGCCTGTGTGTGTGTGCGTGCTGTGTGGTAGTGTAGCGCGCCTGTGTGTGTGTGCGTGCTGTGTGGTAGTGTAGCGCGTGTGTGTGTGTGCGCCTGTGTGTGTGTGCGCCTGTGTGTGTGTGCGCCTGTGTGTGTGTGCGCCTGTGTGTGTGTGCGCCTGTGTGTGTGTGCGCCTGTGTGTGTGTGCGCCTGTGTGTGTGTCTGTGTGCGCCTGTGTGTGTGTGCGCCTGTGTGTGTGCGTGCGCCTGTGTGTGTGTGCGCCTGTGTGTGTGTGCGCCTGTGTGTGTGTCTGTGCGCGCCTGTGTGTGCGTGCGCCTGCGTGCGTGTGCATGCTGTGTGGTAGTGTAGCGCGCTGTGTGTGTGCGTGCGCCTGTGTGTGTGCGTGTGCGTGCCGTGTGGTAGTGTAGCGCTTAGCGCGCTGCGCTGCGATCCTGGTGACCGCGGTTCGATTCCCGCTCACGGCCAATACCAGTGACGATTATCTGAGCCGGTAATGGGCCTCCTCTAGGTCGACTCGGCCTCAAACGAGTACCTGGTGCAGTGTGTGTAGACATCGGCACGGGGGTTGTCTACACACGGCCGGGCGTGGTGCTGGCCACGAACACCCCCCTCGTGTGCCGTGGCAGCCTTCATAGGTGATTGTTAACAGCGCTTGCCCCAAATGTCAGTTACAGGCTATACGGGGGATCTTTATCTTTGTTGAGTGCCCACCACAATAGGCAGGCGGAGAGTTGTAAGCCGCGAAGGGATCGCCGTGTGGATCGGGTGCCGGCAGCCTGCAACGCGCCTTGACGCGCGCTGCAGGTCGTGAAGTCACGCGGTCAGCAGATCTCAGGGGCAGGCTCATGGGAGGTCAACTGGAGTTGAAGAAGAAGATTTTAAAATGTGAAAGACCATCACATGTGGACGGCGCGTCGTGAATTATAAGACAAGACACCGTCCCGTGTTTGACTCGTCTCATCAGCCCCATGGCCTTCTGGCAATGAATGCTTGCAGCTGCATTTGTTCGACGCAAGAAAAACTCGCGACTGGTTTCGACACACACAGTGCTGGGGAACTGCCATGAGGTCATTGGCAAGGACCCCCCCCCCCCTCTGTTAGATGAGGGTCCTCGTTGGACAGGACCCTCTATAGCGCACGGCTGGGGACTCCCGGCGGCGCGGTGTGCCCCGGTACCCCCGGAGAGAGACTCCCACCCGCTAGACACAATCTCGACACTCCATCAGGGCAGCCTGCCCAGTGCTGCCCTCTCCGTGTGCTCCACTCTCACCGACTGGGGGTGGGGGGGGGGGGTACCTGCAGCAGCACGGCGCAGCCTCCCGTTTGCTTAGCGGCGTCTGTCGCCATGGCGCCCATTGCGCTCCACGCTTCGCGCTGGAAGCCGCGCGCGTTGAGGCCACGTGTGGCTGCCAGTGTCACGTGGTGCTGGGGGGGAGAGGCATTGTCGGTGCACGTGGCACGTGACGCGTGACGCGTCGACGGTAAACAATGAGCGGCGCACGCGGCACGCTCGCGCCCGCGGTGGTCACGCTCCAAGTTCAATGAATGGGGGGGGGGGGGTCACTGCCTGTCGGACGACACGTAAGTCGTCACGAATGGGACTGACGATTTGGTTCCAGCGTCTCCCTCGAACCGCTGCTGGGCCGCTTGAGGTGTCACCCCACGGCGTGACGAGGCCCTCAGAGTCACCCCCCGTGTCACCCCCCCCCCCCCCCCCGTGTTACGATCCCTGGTGTATTTTTACATCTTCCTGGATTTCACTCCACACGCCGCGTACACAAACTACAACCTGCAGATGTGTTCATGAAAAACGGTTTTGCGCTGGGTGGGATCGCATGCGCAGGACGGGAGAGGAGGGCCGATTTGCGGGTCAGCCGTGGAGCGCTCTGCACGAGTCGGGCCACCCGCGGGGAGGCACACGAGGTGCCCCGTGGGATACCGCGAGGGGCGACCTGGGAGATGGTCCGTGTGTCCGCTGTGCAGCAGCTGTGAGATCGTGGCACTGGGTAGATCGCGCTGGCGGGGTGCGGTGGTGGTGCCGCGGTGGCTAGATGTTGACTGCCTCGCCTGGCTTGCAGGAGGTCGTGGCTTCGATTACGACCCTGACGATACCTGCTGTTGCATATTTGGAGTTTGCTTTTAGAACATGCGTTCAGAATATTTGGCTGCTATAAGTTTCCACGTGATAAGCCACTTCGTTAAGCTATAATTTTTGGCCAGGTGGCTTCTGAAAAAAAGCAACTAAATAGCTCAGTGGGTCTTACCTGGCAAAATAAAACATAATTTAGTTGTAGACATCTTGATCCTTTGTCAGTACTCTGCTGTGTGAAGGCCTCCTCATGCTGTATCGGTGAAGAGAGTTGCTTGACTCTACTTCAGCTTGCCGCTCAGTGCTGGTTGTGGACGTGGCGGAGAGGCCCAGTCCCGGTGCTTATATCACTCGGCAGTCCAACTCAGGTGGCCGGGTTCATAACGCAGCGCGCCAATCACTGCAGATCCACCCTTGCCACGCGAAAATCGCTCTTTTAAACAACTGGGGGGGGGGGGGGGTGAAGCCTCGATAACAATGTCCACATTGGCCTTCAAATGAGTCAGATAGTCCGGCGGTGGACTATCTGTTTGCTTAAACACGTTAATATTATTCATCCTTGATCGTTTCTGCGTGGATTAAATATCGGCCGTTCTATAGGATTCGGGGGGGGGGGGGTGGTGCGTCAGTCGTACGTACGCAGGTGGGGGTGGGGTGTTAAAAGTCCGCGTGCGTACAGGGATGGTGGCAGGGGTGAAGTGTTGACAGATTGTCGCGTTACCTGCTCACTGGATGGCCCCTAACGGCGGCGAGGGCTGTGCGCGGTCTGGTGCAGGCTTCCACCTGGCGCGGCCCATCTCCACCTTCGTGCCCGAGAGCTGCCTGCTCGTCATCATGGGCCTGCTGGTGGGGGCCGTCATCCGCGTGGCCCACCCGCCGCAGCTGCCCTCGCCCGACCTCGTGTTCGGGGTGGACGCCTTCTTCCTCTACCTGCTGCCCCCCCTCATGCTCGACTCGGGCTACTTCCTCCCCACTCGCCAGTTCATGGATAACATCGGGACCATCATCAGCTACTCGGTGTTTGGCACCCTGTGGAACGCGCTCAGCATCAGCCTCTTCCTCTTCGGCATCTGCCAGGCGAGTCCTCGAGTTCACGTTTGTTTTGTCTAGCCACGCGGAGAGTCCAGGAGGGTCGAGAAGAGTCCAGGAGAGTGTCGTTTGCGAGAATCGCCGCACTAAGAACATCTGTGGAGGTGATGCCGTGTTCCACACTCAAACTGTAATGGTCTAAACTCCAGAAATATATTTTGAAACATAAAACGCCAATGAAGAGGATTTAAATCGTCACAGTTTGGCATTGCTTTACTGTCTAGTTTGTTGTCCTTACCCCGCACCTCCGATGAGCACGGCTGGCTACGTACGGTGCGAACGAAGTTCAAGATACATTGCTGGTATCTACAGTGAACTCTGACTACCACCGTTTCCACCATGCAAACGTGCCCCAACCTCGGCCCAGGTCTATGAACACACCGTGCAATCTCCTGCAAACAAAATCGACTCCCGCCACCCGAACACAGATTGCCCAGACCCTGCCCGGGTCGAGCCCAGCCAGGGCGGCGTGTGCAGCACGCGGCCATGGCCGCGGTGACCGCGTGGCCGGGTCCGTCGAGGGAGGACGTCGTGGCGCCTCCCACGTGACTGGGCTTGGCGGCCACATCGACTCGGCTCGCTGCGGGAGGCGCGACGGCGGAGAGGCGGGTGCCCTGATCGGGTCTCGCGTTACCGGAGTGAGATGTCGTTGTGTGCCCATATCCTCGTCGTTGGATGAACGCACGTCTCGCTACCCACAGAACCACACCGCCGCTTGCTCCGCACTGCCGGCGGGCCGTACGAGTGACGCCGCTCCGTTTAAACCCACTCACAGTACATTCTCGCAGACGCACGTTACACAATCGATCTTTACACAAAGATAACACAACAATACTAAACACCTAGGCGAGTAAAAATGGGCAAAACCGTGACAAAATCACAGTAACTTTAATGTGGTACCCGAGTGACGTAGCGTGTCCTGACTAAACGAGGTGGAGTGACGCGTCACGAGGTGCCCCGCCCCCCCCCCCCCCCCGCGGTAATTGCGTCTCTCGTGGTGCCGCAATCCGTGACAGCGAAACGCCGTGGGGAGGTGGGGGGGGAGGGTGGAGGGGCAGGGTGGGGGTGAGGGTGGAGGGGCAGGGTGGGGGGGAGGGTGGGGGGGGTGGGGAGAGTGGGGGGGAGGATGGGGGGTGGGGAGGGTGGGGGGGGTGGGGAGAGTGGGGGGGGGGGATAGGGGGGTGGGGAGGGAGAGGGTGGGGGGGGAGAGTGGAGGGGGAGGGTGGGGTGGAGGGTGGGGGGGGAGAGTGGGGGGGAGGATGGGGGGGTGGGGAGGGTGGGGGGAGGGTGGGGGGAGAGTGGGGGGAGGGTGGAGGGGGAGGATGGGGGGAGGATAGGGGGGTGGGGGGTAGGGAGGGTGTGGGGGGAGGGGCTCTTGTGTCATGGTGGAAACTTTACACTGCGTGGAGGTGTTGGGAAACGTCACAATTCTGGCTCATGGCCTGATGAAGCTGGTTGCTGTAACCACCAGCGAAAGGCCATAGCCGAATTGTGAATGTTGTGGGTTTACTCTCCAACACACAAGCGGTGTGCTGCACTCGCAACTAATTGGCACGTTTTCTTTACGTGACAACCCTTACTAATTGGCCGTGTCGGGTGGTGACGGGTTTAACGACACATTTATATTTACGTGATCAGACCCCAAAAAAACCCTTTATTGTGGATAATATCGGTCGCGACAGCCTACCACTATTGACAGCGAGTTCAACTCTCCACCACTGACGGAATCGCGAGAGGCGCTTGTTTGGAGGCGCGGATTTTGTTCGCTGCTCGCCCCGAGGGCCGCCCGGCCGTGGCCGATTCTGCCAGACCCGCACGCGGTTGTTGGGCCGCCCTGCCACCGATTTGCAGCGCCAAGTTTGCCCAAAGAGCGTGAGGTCAGGAGCATGGCGATGACATTTGTTGCTACGTTTGAGTCTCTATATGCACCTTCTCCGTAAGTCCAAATACTTTGTTGAACCAAAATTAAAATCAACGAGTGTTTGACATTTAGAGAGAAATCAGATTGCTCGGAGCGAACACTCACAGCTCCGCAGACGATTCCAGATCCAACTCGGAACGTCTTAAAACGAGTGAGTGTCAACGTGCGTCATCCCACGCACGGATCGTGGACGTAAGAGACGATTTAAATCGACGATTCGTCGCGACTGCGACGCTTCGCTGATCCTCGCCCCTAACGCGGCTCCGCGTGCAGATCTCCGTGTTCAACCTGGACGACATCCCCATGCTGCAGCTGTGCATGTTCGGGAGCGTCATCTCCGCCGTCGATCCGATCTCCGTCATCGCCGTCTTCGAGCAGATCCAAGTGAACGATCAGCTGCAGACGCTCGTGTTCGGGGAGTCGCTGCTGAACGACGCCGTCACCGTGGTGAGCGCCCGCGCCTCCTCGCGCCGCACCGAGACAACCGCGCTTTATCGGAGGTGCGGGGGGACGAACACGCAGCTCTAGAGACATGTTCTTCGGTTTTTTCCGGTAAAGTCACCGTGTAGGTAAAAAACATAAAAAAGTAAATTAAAATAAAAATCACGACGTTTCGGAGGCAACACAAGCTTCCGTCTTCAGGTGGTACCGTCACAGCCACGACAGCTGTATCAAGTAAATGAGAGATTGCAGGAGCTACCACTCCGTTTATATAATGGTTGGAGAAGATGGTGGGGCAAGGGCCGCATACTTTTTATTAATATGGTAAGGTGAGGCTTAAGACTAAGAATAGACTGCATAACAAAGGCTGAGCCTTTGTTATGGAGAGGTGCGGTTTGTGATGCAACCTGTGACAGGGGGACCACCATTAAACATGGTAAAACTGTAATGCTCTAGAGACACATTACTTTGCAATCTTGTGCATACACAATGCAGGTAGTGGGGGGGGGGGTCCATAAAAGACCCGCACATAAAAGTAGTGTAACATAAAATATGCAATTTATAAAGAGTCTGAACGCAACCCAAAATCTTCACTCGGCCGAGAGTCGCGGTGGTGGCGGTGGTGGCGGTGGTGGTGGTGATGGTGGCGGTGGTGGCGGTGGTGGCGGTGGTTGCGGTGGTGGCGGTGGTGGTGGTGGTGGGAGGCTGTCAGCGCGGCTCTTGGAAGCCGCTGCCTGCAGACCGCGCAGCTGCCGCGGGATCTGGCGGAGGGTGGAGAGCGTTGTCGAGGTGCTGTGGTGGCATCGGCGGCGTCGGCTATGAGGACATCTCGACGTCGATGAGCGTGTCGGCTGCCGTGCGTGGAGTGTCGCGGACGGCGCTGCGCGGCACGGCGGGGTGGGGGCGAGCGCAGCACGCGGCGCTCGAACTGAGAGCGCCGCGTGCTTCGCTCCCGCGGTGCCCAACGGGAGACTCTCCCCTTTGGTTTTTTCGGTAACGTCACGTAGGTAAAAACATTCTAATAAATTAAATCACGACGTTTCGGGCGCAACACAAGCGTCCTTCTTCAGGTGGGGACAACTTAGCGAAAGCAGGTGTTGCGCCCGAAACGTCGTGATTTAATTTATTGAAATGCCTACGTGACTTTACCGAAAAAACCAAAGAGGAGAATCTCCCGTTGGGCATCTAGAATCAACGGGAGACTCTGCGGGGCCCGTGCAGCTGCGACCGTTGAATTATCCGTCTCCGTACGCCCCCACCCCCGCTGCCGTGCAGGCGCTGTACCAGCTCTTCCTGGAGATGTGCGACATGCAGAAGGTGCTGGGCATCGACGTGGCGGTGGCGATCCTGCGGGTGGTGCTGTGCGGCTTGGGCGGCATCGTAGTGGGGCTCTTCTACGGCTTTCCTGGCGGCGTTCGCGTCGCGCTTCACGCACCGCGTGAGCGTCCTGGAGCCGCTCTTCGTCTTCCTCTTCGCCTACCTGGCCTACCTCACCGCCGAGATGTCCAAGCTCTCCGGGATCATGGCGTGAGTACGAGTCGCGCGGCGTAGCGGCGCGGGAGATGACCGCGGCGAGCGCGCGATGAGTCTCCGTGGTACGGAGTTGACGTGGGAGCTGGGAGCCAGGGGTCGGTCACCTCCGTGCGTCCCTCCATTCTGTTCGCCGTTCGCGTGCAGGGGCCGAATTGTGGGCGGCGGTTTGGGTCACCGGCGAGAAAGTCGACGCGAGGTCGTCATCTGTGTTCCATAGAACGTCAGTCGTAGCGAGAGAACGTGAGGTTTGGCAGGATACCTCGATAAGCGGGATGATGGAGCAAAGTAAAATCTGCGTGCAACGTCAAATGAAAGACGTACAACGGAACCGTAATAAGGTGCGGGGTTTTTAGAATGATTTATACGGGAGAGTAAATACAAATCGACGATTTCCTGCTGGCGTTATGAATGCTCCATCGTCAGTAATCCGTCCAGTTACTTCGGGCCAGGGCGTCACAAGGAGAGAGGCGAGTGTGAAGCGGAACTGCAGTTTGATGGCAGGTGGAAGCAACCGATTACAAGGGGCGTAACGTCGCCAGATCCTTGCACGCAACTAAACCCGGGCAGGCTTCTCAGTCAGCCGAAGTCGAGCAAAACTGCGCAGTGTCCTGCGGCGACGTTGAACGCAACACCCGGCACGGGGTCTCGGTACAAATCAACTGCTGCCGCCGGACACAGGCGACGAATCCCCCCGATGCGATCCAGGACGGGCGGCGACCCTCGGCGTCCGTGGGGACACGGGGAGGGAGGTCGACGTCCAGGGGCTCGATGTGCGGCGACCTCTGTCCGAGCCCAGGCGTCATCGGAGTGCCGGTGTTTAGGCTACAGATGCCCGTGACTGCAAAGGGCGTCGCTTCACGCGTACCGCGCGCTCATTCGCGCGGGGGGGGGGGGCAAGGCAGAGCTCGCCGCGAGGCTGTTGCCAAAACATCAGAGAGCGATGGTCGCCTTGCGAGGTCGGGGCAGGTCACGAGACTCCGCGAGGCACGGGCGACCCGCTCTGTCGCTACGCTGCTGGATGTAGGGCCTCTCCGCGCCTGTGCGGGTCGTGGGGGATGTTTTAACCATACTTCACCGCGCCGGTCAGCGCGAGTCGGTGAAGGCAGAGAGCGTAGACTCGGATGCGTAGAAGTACAGCACAACCATCGATGTTTCCGCACTGCCTTCTGCGGCAGTAAGCGACGAGCACCGCGACGTCGACAGAGCTTGGCCACGTGGCACGAAGCCAAAATCCTTCGCCCGGCTGCCACCCATTCGGCTCCCGGCCCAGCTGCTCCCACGTGACCTCCACCCGGCTTCAATGCCCTCCACGTGCTCACTGCCACGCGAGCAAATGAGCTCGCCCGGAAGGTCGCGTTCACCACATTGCGCCGGTTGACGCGGCCCGGCCACTTGTTGCGGGGGTTCGCGGTCTGAAGCTGACAGGCCGCCCTGGTTAATAGTAGCGCGAGTGAGAATGTTAACCATGAAGTGCTATGCATCATCAATTTCGCATCTTCATCAAAGATCCCTGTGAAGTCGTTCAAAGAAGAGAAGGCCATTGTGTGCGCGCACGAAGTTGTGCCGCGTGCGGACGCGACGGGGAACGGCGCGGGGCGGAGTGGCCGCTCGGTGCTCACGTGGCAGTGGCCCTGCCCACGTGACCCACGCCGCGCAGGTGGCAATTTGTGGCGGTCCCTCCACACAGGCAGACTCTTTATCCTCTGCCAACGACCCCATCCCAAGTGCCTGTTATTTGATCTGAACCCGCACGGCTCGCTGGCTTCGCAGTGCCCAGTGCGTGGGTAATTACATTTTGATTTGTATTCTTTGTGTCTTTCGGTAAAATCACGGACATAGGTTCAAAGAAAATAACAAAAAATAACAAGTACAAAAGTAAACAACGGTAGTTTTTGTTCTTTTTGTTTGTTATTTTCTTTGAACCTATCTATGTGACTTTACATAAAGACCAAAAGAATATGAATTTAACTACATTTGATTAAACAAAATTGCCCTATTTTCCAATTTATTACAATGGTTTCGCAAACTGCGATCTTGCCGTGATATGAAGGATCCATTTGGAAATCTCACAGAGAGGAACAGATGTTGTTGCATTGCGGCCGCATCGTTTTAAAGAGTTTTCAGTGCAGAGGTCGCACTGCCCACGCGCCATGCGATGAGATCGTTTCACGAAAGTCAACCCCCGATATCGTCAACGCTCAGAGCTGGAGTTTAGCCAAACAAAGTGCAAACGCACATTTGACATGGTGGCTTTTTGGCAAGCTATTGGTGGCTGGATGGAGACCGCCAACGGACTGCACTGGAGCACTGCGTGACATCGTGGATGTCTGCCTGGGTTCACCACACCCAGGGCCAACAGCGGCGTGTGCTGGCTGTGACTTGCCGAGGCAAGCCGGCAGCCTCGGCAGGCGGTGGCTGTGCGAGAGACGCTGCGGCGGTCCGGCTCGAGGCTCGCCAGGAGGTGTGTGGTGGAAGATGCCTCCCTCGTTGGTGCTTTTGGGATTTCCCATCTTGACGACTGAAGCCTCCTTCCCTCGCACTCTTGCCAGTTGCGTTCGCTCACAGCGGCTCAATATAATCCAAGTTTACACTCCGTAATCACGCGCGTCGTTGTGGGGAAGGTAATTCTCGAAGCGATGATCGCAGACAGTACCTCGCACGCACAAGTGAGGAGGACGATCCACAGACCGCGTGGTGCATATTCCAGACGGACACCATCCCTCTGTGTGAATCTCCCACAGGAAGCAAACAACAACTATGTTTTCTTTGTTACTTGATTAGTTTGTGACTCTACGAGTTTGCTTTGTTGTGCCGGAGCTGTGACGTGTTGTTTAGACGTTTGTGAGTGCTGCTGCCCGTAATGTCAGGGCCCACGTTGGTGACTGATCAGCAGCCACTCCTTGCTGAAGATATTAAACTTGCATTCGTGCCAAGTCTTTCTCTCTAAGACAAACAATACTGGGAAACTCTGATCTAAAAGGCATACAGACTAAAACTGATTAATTGTTTATTTTTTCACTGGACTGTATGTACAATCCCTCATCTCGAAATGAGTATTGCTAATTCGACTCATCGACGCAGCGACCCTTTAAGGATGTCCGGTTCACGTTGTGGTAGCAGTGCTCAGAGCAGTCGTGATGTTTGCTGCAATTTCCTCGTTGCCCAACACAGTCTTCTCGTGCAGGGCTTGGTGAATTGGGGCGTCACGGTGGCGAGGAGATGTTAACTACCTCGCCAGGTATACAGGAGGTCGTGGGTTCGATCTCGACCCTGACGCCTGCTGCTGTCTATTTGGGGTTTGCGTGTCTCTCTCCCTGTGGTGGCGTGGATTTTTTCTCCCGGGTCGTCCGGCTTTTCACTCCACATGTATAAACACGGGCGTTTACACTATTTGGCTACCGCTATAAATGTCCACGTGACAAGCCACTTCGTTGAGCTCTCATTTGTGATCGCCAGGTGGCTTCTGAAACAAGAGCTCGACAGCTCAGTGGGCCTTACCTGGCTGAAATAGAATGGTAACCTTAGCGACCTACATCCAAGTTTGAACGCCACGTGGCTGAGGCCGAGTCAGTCGCTGCTGCTGCTGCGGCTGCTGCGGCTGAGTCTGGCTCCGGATGGCCCCGGATGGCTTCAGCCACAAAAACAAAGCACAGAGGCCGGCACGTTCGGCGTCTCGCCTTTGTGTCGGTGACATTTTAGGAACGTGCCCCTGGGGATGCGAAACGTGGACAGATTTCTTTAGAAGGTAAATCATCGAAACACAAATTCAGCACGGGCACGTAAGTACAACTTACTTTGTTTCATCGAACCCATGTATTTAACAGTTTACATTTTTGTAATGATTGAGAACCAAAACGAGTGCAAGGCTGGAGTAAAGGTGAAGAATCACTGGGGTAGAGGAATCACAGCTGTGTGGGTGACGAGGGATTCAAGTGGACATCGCAGCTCGTGACCTGACCTCTCGGCCTCTCACGTGACCCGACCGCTTGGCCACTCACGTGACCCCTCCGCTCGGCCACTCACGTGACCAGACCGACCACAATCGCCGCGATGGCGCTGCGCGGGTCGTAAACCGGTGACGCCAAGCGGAAGACGACGGCGGTGGCTGCAAGCGCCGTGCTTCTGTGACGATCCCTGCTTTCTCATTCACCTTTGAACATCTCCGCGTACGCGAGTCGCCTGCGTCCGAGGCGGGTAATTGAGAAAGAAACGTAAGAGAACAATGGCCGTGCTTGTTTCTACCCGCGCAGCTCGAGGGTCTCTTTGGTTCGGCCCGATGCCATCACTCGATATCGCGCCAATTGCGTGGAAAGTTCCGTCTCGTTGACGTAAGTGTACAGTAGTCGTGCCCATTGTGAGCCTTGGCTTCGAGCCAACGGGACTCAACAGACGAGAATAAAACTGCGCACGCACCGGGAGATGCCCGGGCCTCGGTGTGGGACCTGCGCACGAACCCCGAGTGTCCGCCCTCACAGCGCCCCCCGACATCTGCCATGGGGCCACATTCTCTACGACTTTACGGGACCAACAATGTCCCGGTGGGACAGACAACCAGCTGCTTGTTCTGAGACGAGGGAACGAGGGGCTCTGTCATCCGAGCGCCACGGCGCGTCAGCATGACGACATGATGACGACACAATGGCGATGCGTCTGTAATCGCCACCACCACCGCCAGAGGACTAGAACAACAACAACAACCACAACAACCACAACAACCACAACCACAAGGCTCCGTGTGCTGCACACAGTTCACCTTTGCATGACAATCACGCGAACTCCTTAGAGTTGGAATCTCGTGACACACTCCTCGATGTCGCGAGTGCGGAAGTGACAGGCGATCGATCTGTCAGGTCGCTGAGCGGTGGTGAGGTGTGGTGAGGGGTGGCGGTGGTGGTGAGGGGTGGTGAGGGGTGGCGGTGGTGGTGAGGGGTGGTGAGGGGTGGTGGTGGCGGTGGTGGTCAGGGGTGGTGAGGGGTTGTGGTGGTGAGGAGTGGTGAGGGGTGGTGGTGAGGTGTGGTGAGGAGTGGTGAGGTGTGGTGAGGGGTGGTCTGTCTGTGTTGGAGTCTGCCTGCCTGCTGTGCGTTTGCTGGAGTCCTGCACAGGTGCAGCTGCTCAAGGGGCCAGGAGCTGTTGTTGGTGGGGCCGGTTCTCCGCTCCATAACATAAATACGGCTCCCAACTTCGAGGGTCCGCTCAAAGAAGAATCATCTTCTCGCTGTTGATGCGAAGCCGCGGGTCTGAGTCGTGTTTGACGTCGGTCTCTCCCTGCCGCCAGCATCGTGTCGAGCGCGGTCCTCATGCGGCCGTACGTGGAGGCCAACATCAGCTACAAGTCCCGCACCACGATCCGCTACGCCGTGAAGACGCTGAGCAGCGTGAGCGAGACGCTCATCTTCATGTTCCTGGGCGTCTCCACGGTGTCGGCGCGAGGCCACGAGTGGAACGGGGCCTTCATCTGCTTCACGCTCATCGCCTGCCTCAGCTGTCGCATCGTCGGTAATCCTCCTCCTCCTCCCTCCTCCTCGTCCTGCCGAGCGCCAGCTTCGCCACAGCCACCGACGCAGCATTGCCGGGTGCCACCGGGTGCCACCGGGTGCCACCGGGTGCCACCGGGTGCCACTGCCTCTATCGTTTTGTTAGCAGCCACGGCCGGCCGGCTGAGCGGTAGAGCGAGCGGCTCGCGATTGGGAAGGTTGCGAGTTCACACCCCACGGTTGAGGGTTGAGTCGGCCCATCATCCCTCTAGGGTCTATAAAATAAACCACTTTGTGGGGAAGTCAGTCAGCAGTGGTTGTCCAGCGCTACCATAGGAATATGGAATTTCCACGACTGGTTCTGCAGGGGATGAGAAGCGCATCGACGCTCATTTGAGTGTGAGTCACTTTGTCCTTTAATTTTAGATTTAAAGCTTTCGTGACTGCAAGGATTCATACTCTTTGGTTTTTTCGGTAAAGTCACGTAGGTAAAAAATAAAATAAATGAAAACAACTAAATTAAATCACGACGTTTCGGGCGCAACACAAGCGTCCTTCTTCGGGTGGGGACAACGTAGCGAAAGCACAACCGCTTAAGTGTGTCCTTTCTCTACAGACTGCTGAATCGTAGAACTCCCCGTGAATGTAAGTGAATGTAAGTGAATGTAAGTGAATGTAAGTGAATGTAAGAGAATGTGTTTTAATGTACGTGAATGTATGTAAATGTACGTGATTTGTAGGTGAATGTGAGTGAATTTAAGTGAATGTATGTTAATTTAAGTGAATGTATGTGAATGTAGGTGAATGTAAGTGAATGTAAGTGAATGTATGTTAATTTAAGTGAATGTTTTCGCGACAGCTTCTTCATGTGACAGTGAACCCTGTGAGCTTGTGCCGATCTTACTAAAGCTGCGAGAGAGCGCAACCAGCGATGAAAGATATTTAGCTCTGTGCTGCGTCATTCACGCAGGATGTGGTCACCACAAGGCAGGTTGCAATCTACCCAGTACAGGTACAGCTTCAGCTTCAGCTTCATCAGCTCAGCTCACGCCACATTCCTTAATGGGCGTTCTGATCGTGGGAGTGAAGTGGAGTGCCCGGAGAGACCCCCCCCCCCCCCCCCCCCACGTGTGGAGAGTTACCACAGCGTGGTGGGCAGCTCGCTTGCCCTGCCGACGTGCGCCCGACGGAGCGGTGTCTCCCCCCGCGCGGTGTGCAGGAGTGCTCGTCATCACGTACATCACCAACAAGATGCGACTCGTGCCGCTGGGCATCAAGGAGCAGTTCGTCATCGCCTACGGCGGCCTGCGCGGCGCCGTCTGCTTCTCCCTCGTCTTCCTGCTTCCCACCGACCCCTTCGTCCGCAAGTCGGTCTTCCTCACCGCCAGCATCGCCGTCATCTTCTTCACCGTCTTCGTGCAGGTGCTCGCCCACGACCCGGCAAGAGCGCGGCGGACTTCCCCGTCCGGCCTGTCGCGAGTGTCGAGGGCCACGTGGCCACACGACGACCGTGGCTGACCGGGCCACTTCTCGAGTGCCCCCTCCCCACCCCCGCAGGCTGTGAGATTTCACGTCCACTGGACGCTCCCTCTGCTGAGCCCCCACCCACCCCCTCGTTTAATTCAAATCGCGCGTTGAGGCGCAAATGATTTTTTTGAATGATGGTTTCAAATTTCTTGAATCCTTTGTATTGGCGTTTGGATGTTCTTGGTGTGAGCCTGTGCGTGTGTATGTGTTTTGTACGGCACCTTGTGATCTCCGGGTGGAAGGCGCTTTAGAAGTGTAAATAATAATAATAATTGTTGTTATCATCTGCATGTCCTGTGTTGGCTGATGGTGACGCGCACAGCGGTCCGAGCGCTCTGCTCATTCTGCTTCTCTCCCTTGGCACCGCCCCGCTTTGGAACTCCCTCCCTTCGCTTCTCTCTCCCCAAGCTCTTCATGCAGTAGTAGTGCTCCAGTCAGCAACCGTCTGAATAACAACAGCACCACTTTGATGGTGCTGTTTGTTGCTGGCCGCTTGATATTTATGGCCTGTGGGCCCTGTGGGTCGGGTCTTGTCCACAATGCGCACCCGTGCTGCCCCTTTCGTCAAAGTTTCAAGTTGATTTTGTCTCACCGGCGGTGAACTCAAGAGACCAGGGTAGAGTCTCACGTGCAAGTGACTTGGGTCAAGAAGATCAAGAATTATACATAAATTAAATAAATAACAATCACAACCAAAGCAACGAGACTTGCTGGGTGAGGGCCTGCCCGCACCGTGCGGGTCGTAGGGGCTATTTGGTCATACTTCACCACTCTGGTCGTGGCGGGTTGATGAATACAGGAAGCACGGATTTGAGCGCATAGAAGTACAGTACAATGATAACGACAGAATTTTGTGAATGCCTTAATCGTAATGGAAGTCAAGTTGAACATTTGTTAAAATGAATGAAAACACCCGGTGTTGTCCTGACTCTTAGGCCACCCTGTACGTGTACGTACCCAGGGGATGGGCGAGTAGCGTTCGCCCGCACACCCAATCGCCCACTCACCCACCCGCCCACTCACTCTCTCACTCGCTCACCCACTCACCCGCCCACTCACCCGCTCACCCAATCGCCCACTCACCCACCCGCCCACTCACTCTCTCACTCGCTCACCCACTCACCCACTCGCTCACTCGCTCACCCACTCACCCACTCACTCACTCGCTCACCCACTCGCCCAATCGCCCACTCACCCACCCGCCCACTCACTCTCTCACTCGCTCACCCACTCACCCGCCCACTCACCCGCTCACCCACTCGCCCATTCACCCACTCGCCCACTCACCCACTCGCCCACTCACCCACTCGCTCACCCACTCACCCACTCACTCACTCGCTCACCCACTCGCCCACTCGCCCACTCGCCCACTTACCCACTCGCCCACTCACTCACCACTCGCTCACTCTCTCACTCGCTCACCCACTCACCCACTCACCCGCTCACCCACTCGCCCATTCACCCACTCGCCCACTCACCCGCTCACCCACTCGCCCACTCACCCACTCGCCCACTCACCCACTCGCTCACTCGCTCACCCACTCATCCACTCACTCACTCGCTCACCCACTCATCCACTCACTCACTCGCTCACCCACTCGCCCAATCGCCCACTCACCCACCCGCCCACTCACTCTCTCACTCGCTCACCCACTCACCCGCCCACTCACCCGCTCACCCACTCGCCCATTCACCCACTCGCCCACTCACCCACTCGCCCACTCACCCACTCGCTCACCCACTCACCCACTCACTCACTCGCTCACCCACTCGCCCACTCGCCCACTCGCCCACTTACCCACTCGCCCACTCACTCACCACTCGCTCACTCTCTCACTCGCTCACCCACTCACCCACTCACCCGCTCGCTCATTCGTTCACCCACTCGCCCGCTTGCCCACTCACCCACCCGCCCGCCCACTCTCCTCTGCGCACAGGGCACCACTATCCGCCCGCTACTGCAGATGCTGGACGTGGAGCGGCGGTCGGGGCACGTGGCCACCATGGCGGAGGAGATCGCCATCCGGGTAACGGCGCGAGCACTCCGATGGTGGCCCCGGCCGCACCTCCCCCACCTCGCGCTGTCTCGCCGGGGCCCGCGGCGCTCCGTTGTAAATGGAGGTGACGGATGCGTATCGCGTGGCAGGGTGTTAGACAACGCCGCCCCCGATTAGCATAGTTGGCTACGTACGTTCAACATACATAGATAATCTGAACAGATAATAACAAATTTATTGAACACAATTTGATGCAAGTATTGCGAGCATCGATGTTAACATCGTTATTATCCCCTCATGCGTGTGGGTTTTCTCCGGGCACGCCAGTATTTCCACGCTGAACACTTCTTGAAAAGGAAGTGGCGACACACCCTAGTGCAGGACCCTCCTGAAAAAAGTTGCCTCGATTAATGAGCGACATCATCACCCACGTTGCCGTCGGCACTCTGCGGCGCAAAGTTGCGTGGCATCGTCCAAGCTTCGCATGCCGGCAGCTTTTAAAACCGATGGCCGCGTCGGATCCTCACGGCGCGCGTTGCCGCTGCCGCCCACCCGACCCCAGAGCCTGGACCACCTGGTGATCGGCATGGAGGACATCTGCGGCCACTACTCCCACAACAACGTCAGAGAGAGGTGAGCGCCACACGGCGGTTTCCTTGCGCCGCCCGCGCCGCCCGCGCCGCCCGGACCGGCCGTCTCTCGTCCGGCCGCCACCGACGTGCGCCGTCTGTGCCCAGGTTCGAGAAGTTCAACCGGAGGTTCCTGTGGCCCCTGCTGGTGCGCGAGGACGCGCACGAGGACTCGCACATCCTGGGCATGTACCGCAAGCTAGAGATGAAGCAGGCGATGCAGCGCATCGACATGTTCCGAGTGCCGTCCACAGCCTCCGTCCTGTGAGCATCGGAACCGTGGCCCACGCTGGCCCCCACCCTGCCGAACCCCCACCCCACACTGCCCCCCCCCCCCACACACTAGCCCCCACCCCACACTGCCCCCCCCCCACACACTGCCCCCCCACACACTGGCCCCCACCCCGCACTGGCCCCCACCCCGCACTGACCCCCACCCCGCACTGACCCCCACCCCACACTAGCCCCCACCCCACACTGCCCCCCCCACACACTGCCCCCCCCCCACACACTGGCCCCCACCCCACACTAGCCCCCACCCCGCACTGACCCCCACCCCGCGCTGACCCCCACCCCGCACTGACCCCCACCCCACACTAGCCCCCACCCCGCACTGGCCCCCACCCCACAATGGCGCCCACCCCGCACTGACCCCCACCCCACACTGACCCCCACCCCACACTAGCCCCCACCCCACACTAGCCCCCCCCCCACACACTAGCCCCCACCCCGCACTAGCCCCCACCCCGCACTGGCCCCCGCACTAGCCCCCACCCCACACTGGCCCCCACCCCACAATGGCGCCCACCCCACGTTCGTGTTGTGGATCAGAGGGGGGCGGCAATAATGCAGGGTAACATTCATTGTGAAACGTCGTTGTGTTTTGCTTCAATTGCGAATGCTTCGCGCTGCTCTTGACGTCTGCTGTGCTGGTGTTTGTTGGTGACAGGTGCCTGGAAGAGAGGTCGTCCGTTGTATCTGGGCAGAGTGTGGACGAGCGGCCCAAGGACGTGTTTGGTAAAGACGATCGCATGAAGGACATCCGACGTCTCTTGAACAGGAGTCTCTACCGGCCCCGAAAGAGGGTAACGTGGTCTGGCCCCGCTGAGCACTCCCCTCCACGGCGAGACCTCCTCGCACCACACACTGACACAACAACATTCCCTTCGTAGATTCTCAATTATAAAATAAATGTGGAGGGTTTTGAAACACCGGCACAGCAATTTAATTTATTATTTACCCAAGAAACCCTCACCGAGTCTCAAGACTCTCAGGAGGAGGATCCTGCATTGGGTTGTTTGGCCAATTGTAGGTAGGAGAAAACCGAAGTGCTCTGGAGAAAATACTTGCAATTGGGGGGCTAACACTCAGAGATCCACACGGATGGGTTCCTGAACACCCTTGTTGTATTGCCATCTCTGAGCCACGTCCCGCGATCTCCCAATCATTTGTCCCAAAGTGCCGGGCCACACACGAGTGCCCACATGCGCGAGCTCTCTTTGGGTTGAGTGTTTGCTTTTGAGATGTTGGGCCCAGTCAGCTCAACTCACGTGTATCAACCTGAGATGAGATGAGATACAATGATAAAGTTAAGACGAATTAACTTTACTTCGGCATATGCAAGCAAATGTGTTGATCAACATCGTTTACAAAAAAGTAAATCACAAAAAAGGTTTCAGAATTTGTCCTGGTTAAGAATCTCTTTAAGAATCTCGATAAACACGGTTGGCTACGTACGGTGCGAAAGAAGTTAAACATATATGCATACATACAATTTCGCAATCCAAACATGACCAATTCTCGTTTTGTCTGTAGAGAAGCTGGCTTAACGGGGCGCACCACTCACCCACGACACGCTGACACAATTATAACTTCCTAAAGCGAGCTCGTAGTTGCATCTCAAGTTTGCCACCGACCTCCCAATGTTTCCCCCACAGATATCGTCCTACAGCCGTCACTACCTGCCTACGGAGAGCCAGGAGACGGAGGTCTTCCTGCAGAACTCGAACCCTGAGCAGGTGGGTCACGTCCACGGGAGGAGACACAGGCGCGCGGCCGGCGCGGTTGGCTGGCGTCGCTTTCTACCGCGGTGGGGGGGGGGGGTAAGACAAAAAAACTAAAATCTATTTTGGTCTTGCGTTGGAGGTAACCGAGTGAAGTGAAAAAAAGAATCGGTCAAAGAAATCTAGTTTTCGGATTGCCGCGCGTACGGAAATGTCTCGCGGCAAACTTCAAAGTCAGTTTCACACGTAGCAGGCTTTCGCGACCGACATTATCCATGATGGAGTTTTTTTTGTTAGATTGCGTAAATATAAATGTGTTGTTGTTAAAGCCGCCACCATAAATGGGTTTACTCTCCAACACACCGGTGTGCTGTACTAGTGACGAATTGCCACGTTCTGTTTACGTGACAACCCTTACCAGTCGGCTGCGTCGGGTGGTGGCGGGTTTAACGACACATTTATATATTTCCGTGATCTAACCTAGAAAACCTCGATTATGGAAACCTCACAGTCCTACCTTTGTTTAACCGGGAAACTCTGGCAGCGGCCATGGTAAATATGCTGAGCACGCGGCAGTTGAAAGTTGCTGACATTTTTATTGAAAAACGAGGGCACCCAGTGGGCAAAAGGCCACCGCTTCCTGACTTTCGGAACCGGCAGTCATCTCGAAAGTGGTTACCGGTTTAGCGGTCGTCGTTTACAACTCTGCTATGTACGAGAGAAAATTAATCACGCAAGCAAATCTACACGCAGTGCGGAGAGGCACGGGACAGCTGCGGATATTGCTCTACAATCACATTTCGACCACTGTGTATATATAAATACCAAGACAAAGATCCCCCATGTAGCCTTAACAGACCGCAAGGGCAAGTGCTGTGAGAGAACACCTATGAAGACCGGTACGGCACCCGCCTTTGTCTCCCCAGTGGCGATGTTTACCTGGGGAGACCCAGGACCAGTTCAGATAATCGTCACTGGCGTTGGCCGTGAGCAGGACTCGTACTCGGGTCGCCGGGTTGGTAGCGCAGCGTGCTAACCACTATGCTACCGCTCTACACACATACACACGAAGACAATATATTACACACACACACACTCATAGTCGCGCACCAGCTATGTGAGAGTTGACCTGCACGGATGCCGATAGCAAGGAATGCTTTTGGAATGTCGAACTGCCGTGTTTGAGGTCCGCTGTGGGGAAACCCACGGCACGAAACGGAGTTCAGCCACAGGAAGTGTGATGCCATCTCCATCGGCCTGAAAAACCTGGTTCTGTCTGCCCGCCCGCCGACGTAAGCGGAGTCACGCGCGGCCACGAGTCGCGCAGGGGCAGGCGGCCCTCGCAGGCAGCCGTGAACACAGACGGGGTGATACTCTTAGGTTGTTTCGGTAAAGTCACGTGGGTAAAAAATAATACAATTATTTGTATTATTACGCAAACAGACGGCTGCTTGCGTTGTAGCCGAAACGTCGTGAGAATTATTTTATTTTATTATGTTTTATTTTTATTATTTTATTACTTCCCTTCTACGTGACTTTACAGAAAGAACCAAGAAGATGTATTATTACTTTTATTAATTTAAATTTTTATCATTATTTACCTACGTGACTTTACCGAAAAAACCTAGAGTATGAATCCTTGCAGTCACGAAAGCTTCAGATCTAGAGTAGACGGGGTGGCGGTGCTTGTAGAAGGGGGTGTGGGGGGGGCACAGCCTCACTTTGTCAGCTGGAGGCGTCCCGCGAGTTACCGCGTCGCCGGCTTGGCGGACGCCCGCGTCTGGAGCAAGACGCACGCGGCTCTCTCTCGCCTCTGTCCCGCACTCTCTCGCGCTGTTCGACGCGAGTGCTTGCGAGAGTGTTTGCGCGTTTGCGCGGAATTTTCAGCGAGTATAAACCGCGCTGAACTGAACCACGGCGCTATTATTGGCGAGCACTGAGCCGGCTGCTTTTGTGCCACTGTGCGGTTGAGAGTTTCTGTCAAAAGCAAAATCATCGAATGAAAAATAAGAATAGGTTTTACCCTTTCTGGTAATAAAACAAATAGAAACCTTTTGTAAGGAATCAAGTCTGCATTAACCACTCGTACCTGTGGTGGACATGCAAAATCATCATTTATGTCAACTTGCTGAAGCGGAAAACCCGCAACCACATTTTTCACGAGAGTTTATCGGCCGTATCCAGCCGCGTTGTGGAAGTGGGGGCACCGTGGCTGCTGCGCCGCTGGTGTGAGGCCATTGGTGGTTATAACTGAGAGGTCCCAGGTTAGTCGCTCTCGCTCATGAGATGTACCAGCAAAGCGTTCGTCTCCAGCTGCAGGTGAATGTCGTGAATCTCACAACCACTCCTTGTGCCACCACCCCTACCCACCACCCCCACCCCCACCCCTACCCACCACCCCCACCCCCACCCCTACCCCCACCCATAACCACCACCCCTACTCCCACCCCTACCCCCCACCCCCACCCCTACCCACAACCACCACCACCACCCCTACCCACCACCCCCACCCCCACCCCTACCCCCACCCACCACCCCCACCCCTACTCCCACCCCCACCCCTACCCCCCACCCCCACCCCTACCCACAACCACCACCCCCACCCCTACCCACAACCACCACCCCCACCCGCAACCACCACCCCCACCCACAACCACCACCCCCACCCCTACCCGCAACCACCACCCCACCCCTACCCACAACCCCCCCCCCCCCCCCCCTGTGCAGCTGGAGAGGAGGCTGCGCCGTCACGGGACTCTGCCCGCGCGCTCCACGCGGGACCCGCCCCACGTGCGGCCTCGCGCCGGTGAGCAGCAGCAGCGGCAGCAGCACCGCCACACACAAAGACAAAGATCCCCCGTGTAGCCTGCACAGACCATTGCGACAAGCGCTGTGAGCGGCGAGAAGCAGCTAGCAAGGCCGGCACGGCACAGGAGGGGGGTGGTTGTAGTCACCACCACGCCCGGCCGCCTTCGTCTTCCAAGTTGCGATGCTTTCACACCGTTGAGACTGAGTCGAAACGAGGGGAGGCACAGCACCGGTTCAGATTATTGTCACTGGTGGTGGTGGTGGCCGTGAGCGGGAATCGAACTCGGGTGACCGCAGCGTAGCGCTAACCACCACTCCCTACCACCACCACTCCCCACCACCACTCCCCACTACCACCGCCACACAGCACTCACTGTGCGCTTTCCAACAATCACCTCTTCCACTGCAGACCAAGCACAGACGTATTTCTCGGTAGTGCAGGAAGTACGCCATCAGGAGGAGGCTGCAAGGTGGGCCAAGGCAGTCTCTTTTGCCAAACAAGGACAGTGGACTCGATGGGACAGTGTGGAGAAGAGGAAGATCAGCTGGAAGGATCTGTGGGCCACGGAAGCGAGGCGGTTGAGCTTCTCCATCAGAGCAACATATGACATCCTTCCAACACCAGTTAATCTTCACCAATGGTATGGTGAAGATCCGGACTGTGCCCTCTGTTCCATGCCAGCCAACCTCAGGCACATTCTCACAGGGTGTAAAACAAGCCTCACCCAAGGACTCTACACTTGGCGTCACAACCAAGTCCTTAAAAACCTTGCGTCCGCCCTGGAGGACAAGCGAGCTGCCACCAACTCCCTACCACCCCCAGCAGCATCACACCCCTTACGGACGACCTTTGTCCGCGAAGGGGCTAAACCACCGAAGAGCGGCTCTACACCAATAGAGCGAGACCAGCTGCGCTTGGCCCGCGACTGGAAAATGCTAGCTGACATTGGCCGGCAACTTGTGTTTCCTCCGGAGATCGCAACCACCACCCTAAGACCTGACGTGGTGCTCTGGTCCCGTTCGCTCAAGAAGGTCTTCATCATTGAGCTCACAGTACCCTGGGAGGACTCAGTAGATGAGGCTTATGAGCGAAAACATCTGCGCTATGCCGATCTAGCTGCCGAAGCACGGCATCATGGCTGGAACACAGAAGTCCGACCAGTGGAGGTGGGCTGCAGAGGTTTTGTGGCAACATCTGCAACCAGACTGCTTAGAGACCTGGGAATTAAGGGCCAGAGCCAGCGTTCGGCAATCAAAGCTGTATCGGAGGCGGCAGAAGGCAGCAGTCAGTGGCTCTGGATGAAGAGGAAAAACCCCAGCTGGGCCCCAAAGTGAGAGGGCCAGGAGGTATGCAGTCAACAATGCTTGACTCAGGGAGGAGGACGCCCCTGCCATGCATAGTCCCATGGGATGTTGGCTACCAACAACAAGGCAACTCCTATGACTAATTGGGAATGGGACGCAAGCGTAGGATTGATCACCCTGTCGCTGGCCGCCTTTGGGGAGGGTGTATAGTATGAAAGGCCGAAACACCCTAGGAACCAAAGGGTCACTACTGACGATGCGCTCCCCAAATTTCACCAGGCTCACTGTTCATGAACTCTTGGAAGTGCTTGCACAAAGGATAGTAACATCTCATCCTGTGTTCTTTGGAATCTCAGCCGGCCTAGGTCCATCAACGCTTTGCAATTTACTGCAATACAGTTCAACACAATACGGGTGCCAATCTCGGTACAAATCAATTCCTGCCACCCGAACGCAAACGCCGGGCAACCCGGGCAGGTGGCAACCCTCGGCGATGGCCTCGAATGCAGCCGCCACCGCCGCCGTGTGTGTCACGACACTTTTTGTGTTTGCAGTTCACACCCTCGAGAGGTCAAAGGTCCTCCGGCCACGGGACGGACGAGACGAGGGGGACGGCGGAGGAGAAACGCAGAGCCTGGCGGGCCCGGCCACCTTCAGGATCGGCTCTTCCAACGCGAGCTCCGACGACGAAGCGGCCAATTCTGGGAACGAGGCGAGGGGCAGCAATGGGGCACACCGGCTCGCTGGGCGGTCGAGCTCGCTGCTGCACAGGCCCCACACATAACGCACCCCGCGCATAGCGCACCACGCACATAGCGCACCACGCACATAACGCACCCCGCGCATAGCGCATCACACATAACGCGCCCCTAGCATAACGCACCACACGCTTAGCGCACCCCGCAAATAGCGCACCGCGTATAGCGCACCACGTGCTTAGCGCACCGCGCACAGGGCGCGTTCAGCTCACAGGAGGTCGCCTGCGTCGAGACAGACGACCCACTTCGTGCACATGGAATAGCAACATTCTTCTCGAGAAGCCCGGGTGAAATTGTGTGTTTTTTTAATGTTTAGCTCCCAATATTTTGTAAGGATTGATAACTCGTGTCATTGTTGTTTTATCTCAAAAAGCTGTTTATGTAGAAGTGCTTTTTGTGTTTAGTGTGTTGTCCTCCCTGCACACCTTCAATTAGCACGGTTGGCTACGTGCGGTGCGAAATAAGTTAAACATTCATACAAGCGATATTAATTGGGTTTTCTCTTATTCTTTGGGTCTTAGATAGGTTCAAATTAATAACAAATAAAATGTTATTTTTTTATTTAATGTTTATTTTAATTTGATTAAGTTTAACCTATCTACGTGACTTTACCAAAAGACCCAAAGACGATGAATTCCTGCAGGCTCGAAAGCTTGAAGTCGTCAAGGGTTTTCTCTTGCCTAGTAACCAGACAAAACTCCCACGTGGGTCCTGAACAGCTGCTGAACTTTGGGTAAATTCGCGCGATGGTCCACCGGGTGACACAAGAGACCACGGCGGTGATGGTGGAGTCGAAGGACGTCTCTGTATTTACCACTGTGACTGAAGTGGATAACGGGTTTCCTTCATTACACTCGAACTCCGGTAGAAGCTGATCCCAAATCCCGTAGAGAGGCAGGACCGATGCTGGCACCAACGGTGACGAAAGCGGCTGGTAACCCCAGCAACGCGGCTGGTAACCTCAAGCAACGCGGCTGGTAACCCCAAGCAACGCGGCTGGTAACCCCAAGCAACGCGGCTGGTAACCCCAAGTAACGCGGCTGGTAACCCCAAACAACGCAGCTGGTAACCCCAAGCAACGCTGCTGGTAACCCCAAGCAACGCGGCTAGTAACCCCAAGCAACGCGGCTGGTAACCCCAAACAACGCAGCTGGTAACCCCAAGTAACGCTGCTGGTAACCCCAAGCAACGCGGCTGGTAACCCCAAGCAACGCGGCTGGTAACCCCAAGCAACGCGGCGCAGGTGATCATTCTGCGGTGGCAGCTCCATCGCGCGTGCACCGTGACAATTGAACTCTCCTTCGAAGCCGGACCAAGTCACGGGAATCGTTTTCATTTGCTTTGAGACGCAGCAGCCTCTTGATGTCACCCCAGGCTCTTTGTTTAAGGGGCCGCTTCGTGGCGTTGCCCGTTCAGGACCACCGTCTCGTGTCCACGTGCATTGCTTCTCTTGAATGAGGGAGCTGTGTTGCTTTTTTACCGAATTCAAAATACTATAATGAGCCAAGAATGTCTGTGTGTAACGCGCGTGACGTCACTCCACATGCCCCCCCCCCCCGCCGTCGTTAATATTCATGAGCGGGTGGATTTTTGCACTCAAACAGAAGGTCGAGCGGAAATATTTTTTTTCGCATATTCGCTTTAAGTTTCACGTTTCTTTATTGAAAGTGAATCTAATAAATAATTCAACGCAGCAACAAAGTGGACGTGGTGTCTTTATTACTTCTGCTTCTACATTATGGTAAAATAGACATTTCTCTGCGATTTTCCAGTTATTGTATCGAATTCCTATTTATTTCAACCTCAGCGACTGAAAGCAGAAGAGAATAAAGTATCAGAGCAGTGAATTTTAACAAATTGAAGGTCGGTTATATACAATGCTAGTGACGTGAAGTGAGGTGTTTTATGACTTCGTTTTGTGCAATATTCACTGACATTAAATTTACACAAGATACAATAATTATGCTCTGCTCAATTTTTTCGTAAATATTACAGCTTCCGTCCTCGGACGGGCAAACAAGCCAGTTCTAAATAAATGTCTCTCTTCGAGTTATATTGGTTTGCCGACCCCTGCCCTAGACTAACACCACATTCACTCTGCGTGTCGTTTACTCTGTGTAATGTGTTGTGTGTTGGCCGTGAGCGGGTCCCCTGGGTTCGCGGCGCGATTCGTCACTTAGTTTGCCCCAAGCGACTTCGCGAGCTTCCCGTCACCTGCGCACGCGATGACAATTGGTCGCCACCGCGGACGATCTCGACTGATAATAAATAAATAATCCCTCGCGAGTCTCGCGCCCTGGGCAGCAGCCCCCACCTCCGAACCCCCTCGCAGGCCGCCTGGCGTGAATCCACCACCACCACAACCACCACCACAACCACCACCACAACCACCACAACCACCACCACCACCACCACAACAACCACCACAACCACCACAACCACAACCACCACCACCACCAACCATCACCACCACCACAACCACCCCCACCACCACAACCACCACAACCACCACAACCACCACCACCACAACTACCACCACAACCACCACCACAACCACCACAACCACCACCACCACCCCCTCTACCTCGTCTCAACCTCGATCGGCTGCCTCCAAGACGTCGAGTTGCCTCTGTGCGCGGAGCCCTCAACCAAGTGGCACGCCTCGTGGTGTGGAGGGGGGGGGGCCCTCGTGTGGTGGGGGGGGGGGGCCCTCGTGTGGTGGGGGGGGGGGGCCCTCGTGTGGGCTCCCCCCCCCCCCCCGTGTGGTATTCAGCAGATGAGCTCCGGTCACCGCGCCCGGCGTGCGGGCGAAGGATGTTTGTGGTGCAGCAGCGCCTGGCTAGAGGCCCCCCTCCCCGCACTACCCCAGCACCAGGGTGCCATGTTGTGGAGTTTGTTCTCTGTATCTGTGTATATGCATGTCAGCCGCTTCAATGTTTGTGCCAAGTGTGGGGTTTGCAGAGTTGTTGCATCTGGTAAATACCGAATGGCGTGAAGCCCCTGGCCGTGATATTTTGCTGTGTTGATGTGTTGATGTGTTGATGTGTTGATATGTTGATGTGTTGATATGTTGATATGTTGATGTGTTGATATGTTGATGTGTTGATATGTTGATATTTTGCTGTGTTGATATATTGCTGTGTTGACATGTTGATGTGTTGATATGTTGATGTGTTGATATGTTGATGTGCCATTGTTAACTTGGGCACTGGTGACTACGCTGCACGTGGCAGCCCGGAGTCCAGCACTGTGGAGGCAGCAGCGAGGGTTGGTGGGTCACACGCAGATCTTGTGGATCTCCCTTCCCAAGAACGGCTGCCGTACCTGGGCTCGCCAGGAGACTGCGGCGCATTCAACGTGGACCCCGACTTTCCCGTCTGTCAGGGAGAGGCTGTTGGTCACTCGCACGCGTGGGTTTCTCCGGATGGTCAGGTTTCCTCTCGTGTATAAACACTCAGTAATTGACCGATAACAACTGAATACATAAAGGACCGCAGAGCTTGGGAGTGGGGGGGGGATTTGGAGCCGGCTCACCGCTTGGCTGCGGCGAGACCACGACGTCTCGAAGTCAACGGCAGTGCCAACCTGAGGCTGCTTTTGCAGATTTGGGTTGATGCAGACCTCGGTTCCAGGAGACCAGGTTTCAGGCAACTTTTAAGTGTCATCGTGAATTCGCAGATGTCATTTGTGAGATTCAAGCCACCGAGAGGCCTCTCGTGACTCGATCCCTCGTGACTCGATGAACTTCCACCACGAGATTGGGTCGCGGTGCGAGCGGAAGGGGTCGTGTGAAACCGTGACGCGGTTCGTGGCGTTGTTTTCATTGTAAGCGACGGGCATCATCCAACAGATGCATATTTTGACACCGTGCCGCTGACGTGTCCCAGGGTTACGTGCCCGTTACGTCGAAGGCATATACAGCAACAACATTGTGACTGCGGGCATTGCACCTTTCTACAGTTTTAATAAAACGCCAAATGAAATTAAGTAGTCAAATATATACTGCATTCTATTGTCATGATTGAACAGAATAACATCTTCCAATTCCTCTACACAGAAAATAACCTTCTTGTTTTCGATGACTCCACGTCAAAATCTCTCTTTTGTGCAATCCTGAGACCACCTTTAAAGCTGTGCATTGTGGAAATCTCCTGGGCAATCAACGCTAGGAAACTGGCGCATGGGTTGGCAGGAACTAGGCGGTCTCACCCCTGGACGTCAAAGCGTCCAGAGGTGAGAAACCCACGATCAGATCTTGACCGGTGAAGCAACGTTGCGAACGAATCGCACGGCTGTGGAACGAAACATGTCGGTGTTGATGTTTCTCGCGAGTTCCCCTCAACGCATCAGAGCTCTTGAATAGACCACGTCTTCATTAAGGCGATCCCTGTCATCTCATGTCTACAGGCCTGCAGAGGCGCCGGTGGAAATTCCTCATACTTATGGCGGGGGCGAGTCCATCCATAGGACAACCGCTGTTGAATTCCCAACAAAGTTGTACTTGTTTTTATTCAACCCCCCGGAGGGATGATGATGATGGGCTGAGTCAACCCCCAGCCACGATTTGAACTCAACCTTCCAATTGCGAGCCGCTACCAGTGGTGATCCCATGCAGAGACTGGCTCCCATCATAGGAATATGGAATTTCCACCACGGGCCCTGAAGGGCTGTGACCAAGATACGACCACCACCTCGATGCTTGATTCAGCAGTAAACCGCTTTTTAATGTTATACAAACTCTGGACCAAATTCGACCAAACATGCGCGCTGTGATGCTGCTGCTGCTGGTGATGTTGTTGATGTGACACCACCAGCAGAGTTCCTGTGCGGGTCCACACGGGGGCGCCCCCCCCCTCGCGCGCTCCCACGGGGGAGGGGCACGCGAGTGCCACGTGCGGCTCGTCACGGGGAATAGCAGCGATCACGTGGTCGTCTTGATTGGCAACACGTGGCTCGTGCTTCGCACTCAAAACACACACAAAGACAAAGATCCCCCTTATAGCCTTAACCAGACTGTTGGGGCAAGTGTTGTTAGCGAGCACCACAAAGACACACACAAAGACAAAGATCCCCCTTATAGCCTTAACCAGACTTTTGGGGCAAGTGCTGTGGGCCAGCACCTCGTACACACACGGGCCTCATCAGGACCCCCTGGGTGGCTAATTGGCTGCGAGGTCGTTACCCGCGCGCGCGCCGCACCTGTAGAGGGGGGAGGAGACGCGGCCATTGGCTCCACTAATCACATCGGTGGGGGGGGGGTCACCACTCCACACAATGGGGACTGGGGCGGGGGGGCAGCGAAAGAGGGGGGCAAGAGCACAGAGCCCCCCACTTTTGCACCCCCCCCCCCCACCGCCAACATCAATCGATGCGTCGTCTGTCTCCGAGTGTCGCCCTGCGTCTCCGCCTGTCTCCGCGTCTTGGTGTCTCGCTCTGCTGCGCCTCGGCGTGACTGTTGCCTCCGTCTCTCGGCGACTGTCCCTGCCCTGTGCCCCCCCCCCCCCCCCCCATGGTGTCTCCCACTTCCCCGTGAGAGCTGCGCATCCACTGAGGGACCTGCGGTGGGGGGGGTGATGGGGGGCACTGCTGCTCCTCTCCGAGGTAATCACGGACTGGGGGCGCTCTCGTGCCAGCAGGCAGGAGGAGGAGGAGGCGATGCGCGTGGCTACGTCACCGCCTCGTTATCGCCGCACAGCTGACGGTGATTGCGGAACAAAAGGGCACGAGGGAGGAGGGGGAGTAGGAGTCCTCATTAGCCCCGAGCCGCGCCTCCAGCAGTCCCAGCGCCCGCTTGAGTCGGCCCCGGCGTAGGAGGCGAACTCGTGGGACGCTGCCCGCCGGGAGAAGGGACCAGAGACATCGGCCGCAGCAGCAGCAGCAGCGCTCCGCTGTTCGCGAGCGACGCCGACGTGAAGAGGACGCGAGAAGGGAGACGCAGGAGAGAGTTCCACCACCCTGATCTCTTCTGCGTGGTGGGGACGCGCGGAGGAGCGTGGTGGGGACGCGGGGCTCGAGGAGACGGCGAGAGGGAGGAGGAGGTTAGGAGGAGGAGGGGGGGGTCCGATGCCGCTGCTGCGAGACGTCGAGAGCTGCTCGTCTGCGCCCGCGACGAGCTCGACTCGCCTGGAGGTGGACGAGGGCGACCTCGGCACGAGCGCTCATCACGAGGAGGAGGTGAGCGGCGACTCGCGAGAGAGCAGCGGCTCGCCGAGTCGTGCTCGCTGGGACCTCGTGCGCTCTCGCCGTCTCTGGGAATCTTTTTTTTTGCTCCACCTGGGCCGTGATTTTGGCCAGGTGATGACAGTAGAGAAAGTGGGTTCGCCAACTTATCAGTAACTGAGAATGTTACGGATAAATGACGCGTGGCGGTGTTGAGAAGACGACCTGCCCCGTCGGGGCGGCTCGTGACGCTGCTGGCTGCAAGTCGCTTGCGCGCCGCTCATTTCGACCGCCGCCGTCTCCGCGGCTTTAACTCCATCCGCTCTGCGGGGCCGTACGGTCCGTGCGCTCTGCCCATTCGCATCGAACCCCATCGCGGACCCTCCCCCTGTTGGCTCGCACTCACCCTCGTTTCAATTCTAATCGCCCTCAATCCACCTCTTCGGCGTCAACCCTTCTGTGGTATTGTGGGGAGCGGTGGCGCAGCGGTTAGCGCGCTACGCTGACGAACCCGGCCACCCGAATTCGATTCCCGCTCACGACCAACCATCGGGTGACGATTATCTGAACCGGTCATGGGCCTCTCCTAGATCGACTCTGCCTCGCATGGGTAACCTAATGCCACGTGTCAAACATCGCTACCTAGGGAGACAAATGCGGCCGGGCGTGTTGATGCCCCCCCCACCCACCCACCGCGCGTGTGCCGTGCCGACCTTGATCGGTCCTCGTTGGCGGCACTTCCCCCACCGGTCGAGGGCTCCACGAAGTGGCGTCGCCTTTGTCTCGTCTCCTGCACGTCGCCCAGTTCGGTGGCGAAGCGAGTGGCTCTCAATCCGAAGGTTGGCGAGTTCAACTCCTGGTTGGGGAGTTTGGCTCGGCCACTCGTGCCCCCCCCCCCCCGTGGTCAATAAACGGGGGGGGGGGGGTACCAAGACGAGGGTGGCTGACCTATGAATAGCTTCGCCCCGTAACGTGACTGTGAAATTTCCACCACTGGCTCTGTGCTCGCCACTTGGGCAAGACGTCATCTTTTGACCTTTGGCCGTGGCGTCGGATCATCCAGCAGTAGATGGAGCACTGCAGCCTGCTCGCACTGGGCTTGAGAGGGCACGGACTGCAACTAATGACGAGGGGGGGGGGGGCTACCCAGAGACCCCACTTCCCACGGTGCTCCGTTGTGTCCATCGCGTCCTCGCGACGGGGGCCTCTGCGCTCCGTCATTCCTTGTCGATCGGCCCCTTTGAGAGCGCAGCAGCAGCAGCAGCTTGAGCAGCAGCAGCAGCAGCTTGAGCAGCAGCTTGAGCAGCAGCAGCTTGAGCAGCAGCTTGAGCAGCAGCTTGAGCAGCAGCTTGAGCAGCAGCTTGAGCAGCAGCTTGAGCAGCAGCTTGAGCAGCAGCTTGAGCAGCAGCTTGAGCAGCAGCTTGAGCAGCAGCTTGAGCAGCAGCTTGAGCAGCAGCAGCAGCTTGAGCAGCAGCAGCAGCTTGAGCAGCAGCTTGAGCAGCAGCTTGAGCAGCAGCAGCAGCTTGAGCAGCAGCAGCAGCAGCTTGAGCAGCAGCAGCAGCAGCTTGAGCAGCAGCAGCAGCAGCTTGAGCAGCAGCAGCAGGAGGAGCAGTGCGCTGGTTGGTTTGTGAGGCTCTGGAGGAATTTGCTGTGCATGGCTGCGCTTGTGTGGTGGACAGGTGCGGACCCTGTTTGTGAGTGGGCTGCCCGTGGACATCAAGCCCCGTGAGCTCTACTTGCTCTTCAGACCGTTCAAGGTGAGCGGCGGACGCGATGAGGAACCCATTTTAGGATAGAGAAACCAACGTGCAGTAGAGAAGCTGCGTTATTTTTTGTTTCTGGTGTTCTCCACAACAATGCTATGGATTATTGCGTTGTGCAATTATAAATACACGTGTCGAGCTCTGACGGTCTTTGCGGATAAACATAAACAAACTATGTGAGAACCGGATATATATATTTTGTTTGTGCCAGGTAAGGTCCACTGAGCTTGTATAACTCCATTCCAGAAGCGACCTCGCCACAAATGACGGCTCTACCAAGTGCCTTGTGGAATTTTATGGCAGCCAAACGCTCCAAACGCCACGTGGTGGTGTTGATTCTAAATGTGGAGGGGAAAATCCGGAGGACCCGGAGAAAAATTGACGCAAACTCCAATTATACAGAAGGGGTCGGGATCGAACCTACAACGTCGTGCATACCAGGGCGAGGTGGTTAACATCTCGCCCGCCCCTCCACCCGCCCCTCCACCTCTCCACCCGCCCCTCCACCCACGCACTTTCGAGCACTCCGAGGCGTCCCGTTGTGTTCATGGCTGTGGTCTCAATGCCGTGCATGGGAAGGTCCAAATTGGTCAATCGGATCCGGGGTGAGTATTCAAATGGCCCGTGTATCGACTCCCATTTGCGCGCTTGTTCATCAGCCCTCCTCACAATGGGCACGGCTATATATCGATTTTATATACAGTATATTGATTAGGGTACCTGCGAGACGTGTCAGCCTGGTGCTGTCACACTCGCACGAAATCTAATCGTTCGCGTCGTTCTGGGGCCAATTGAAAACTCTTTAAAACTGCTTTTTGTGTCGCCTTGTCCTTCGCTGCTCCGCACCTCCAATTAGCATGGTTGGCTACGTACGGTGTGAAAGAAGTTCAAAGTGCACTATATAACCATAAATGAGCAGACTGCAATGACGCTGTCCCTCAAAGTTTGCACCCCCCATCAGCGACGCAGCCTTTCGGGTGTTTTATGGATTTGGAATGAATTGCCAATGTTAACACTGTGATTGAAGGCTTGTTCTATGTACACTGCGTGTGCGTGTTTGTATGTTCAATGTACCCAAGTGTGGTGCATGTGCTGTGCAGTGGTTTTGGTGGATGGCTGTGTGACTGGTGGCGATGGGAGGGGGGGGGGCGCATAGTTTGCCATCGGTGAAACTCCAAGCACGGCTGGGGCCTCTCCGTTTGAATGATTCTGCTTCATGTTGTCCTGCAGGGATACGAGGGCTCTCTGATCTTGATGACCTCTAAGCAGGTAAGCGGGAATTGAACCGTTCCCTCGTTCTCTCGCTTCTCAAACACGGGTTCTGGCATCGGTCAGCCGTGAAGCGGTTAAATCCGAACCAACGTTTCTGTGTGAAGTGGCCAATGTTGGTCTGTTACGAATATTGGCCATGTGCTCTGGCTCTGTACAGTAATTGTGTTCATAAGCTGCATGGCCATCAGCGGATTAACAAACTCCAATTACTACTACTTAATATACAGCTTCAGTTGCATTGCTGATAACAGCGCAAGCCGGGCATGTACAGCATCTTAAGTCTCCAGTGACGAAGTGACTTGGCAACTTCAAAAACTAGCGTGGTGTGAAGTAAGATCTATAGATGTTTACTCTTTTGAAATGTCTCTTCCAGCCCGTGGGATTTGTAACCTTTTACAGCAGAGCACAAGCAGAAGATGCCAAAGTCTCTCTGAATGTGAGTTCTTTCATCACGCGTGTGCACGTTGTAATGGGAATTGCCGTTCTCCGCTCGCTGCTGGTCGAGGCACCACCTTGCGCTGATGGAACGGATTGTGGAATTTCGCACAGCAGATGCTTGAGCGCTAAAGTGGGAACAATAGTAACCTAGACTTGTGTCTAGACCTATTTCATACCAGGCACACCCTTGGTTCTACCCTGTAACATGTTTATTGCATGGTTAACCAACATTTTTAATTGAGGGCTTTGGAGAAATGGAGTAAAGTTAGGAAGCCAAATGTAATATTTTAGTTGTTGTGTATTGGAGACCAGGTGCAGGCTCTCAACTCTCCCACGTAGTTACCTGGGCTCAAACCCAGGTTCTTAGCAGAGGCGGCTGTGTTCTCTCATCCGCATCCTGTCCACATGTGAGCGTCGTCTGCCTGACCTCTGTCCAATCCACGAGAGATGCAAGGGCATTGTATTGCCAGCGCCGACCTCGGAAATCACCATTGACCCTTTAAACGTGATGTGAGCATCTTTACTCAGATTTGAGTCCTTGAGCAAATGACTCGTGTAAGATGTACATTATTACATGAAAAGTTTATAAAACATGCTTTTCCAAATAGTTTTTTATTATAATAACACGAATATTTTGTTGCTTCAAAAATGTTAATGGTAACCCTTGGCATGGGTAAAAGGCGTTTTTTTTTATTTTGTCCAAATTTGTTCACGTTAACTACCAGCATGTTATTAGACCAAACTTGAATTTCAACTGCAAAGTAAACTTGGTAGGCTGAAAATGCACCTGTGGAATAAATACATATAAAATAGGAATAAAAAAAAAAATTGGGACCAAATTAGGTCCTCCTATGATTATTCTCCAGGATGGCGTCGCGCGCGCGTGGTTATTCTGGCCGCAGAGATGGCAGGACGTTGAGGGTGGCTGGGTCCCCATCTCGCTCGGCTCCTGACGGACACGTTGGCGACTTGCCTGTGTGCCGTTCAACGCGAGCCACTTAGTGTCACCGATGGCAAACATCTGCTTCTGCTCCACCTCAGGAGTATCACGAGCAATGCGCTTAAAGCCAAGTGGAAAATTATTTTGTGTGTACAGTGTAAACGACATCGCAGTCTGTGGCCCTTTCTTTTGAGACGACCCTTGTCTGCGAGTGGCTTCTCTTTTTATAGCCCCGCGTGCCAACCGACCCGAGCGATATTTCCCCCACAGACGACTCTGACCGTCCGGCTGCTGGGATGGCGGCATGGTTTTTGAGATGTGAAAGAATGAGCTGCTGTTCGTGCACTGCCGAGTCGACGGTGTCGGGACCGCGAGGGTCGCAATGTCTGCTTCCAGCGCCGGTCCCTCGTGCCTTTCCTACAGTCGACCGCTACGATCGATACCTCCCTCTGTAGATGCTGCCCCCTTTCGTAGCAGCGTCTGCTTCATGTTTAAGAGATTCCAGCAGGAAATCTCAATTTACCCTTGCGCACCAATCCACGGTTTGCTTGTGTGTTTGTCTGGGTGGTGACTCAGCTGGCACGCTGCGCTACAAACCCTGCGGCAACCCAGAGCTCGATTTCTGATCTCGGCCTGCACCAGTCCAGTGACCATTATCTGAACAGGCCATGGATCTCCCCAAAGTTGACTTCCAATGAGTACCTGGTGTGGTGTGTAAACATTGCCACTGGGGAGACAAAGGCGGTCGGGCACGTGCTGCCCACTTTGTATGCCGGCCTTCATAGGTGCTCTGTAACAGCACTTTCCCCAACAGTCCATAAGGCTAGATGGGGGGGGGGGGGGTGAGGCTTGGTGATATTGGTTATGTAGCCATTTGCTGCCATATTAAGCATCACATTTGGTTATACGCTAAATTTAATGGCACACTTCAAATGTCCTAAACTAAATCTAAATTTGAGATTTAGTTTTTGCTTCGGTTAACAAGAGGATGGCTCGCGGCATTTCTAAGCCTTCCACTGGAAAGCATGAATGTATTCATCACTTGCTATTAAAGTAGAGGTTTGGCTTGAGAGAGCTGAACATAAATATATCACATGGGGGGGGGGGGGGGGGGCGGCAATGCCGTGACTCTGACTTTGCCGTGGCGCCCTGAATGTGCCAAGGGGTCCATTGATCACTCTACGTGGATTTTTATGCTTTAATTGTTTGCAGGTCCACGGCCAACCTTGGAACATATACAAAGGGGGGGGGGGGGGGATTTCCCCATATTCTCTGGGACCTTTTTGATGAACTGATGCCCGTAATGACTGGATCAGAGCCCAGGTAATCCAGAAGTGTCTCTCGTAAGGGGAATACACATTGCCATCTGCTCTTGTCTTTGAGCATAGATTCAATTGCTCGGTTTTATTCCAGTCTTATAGCAAATCCACGCTGCCTTGGTCTTACTTGTTTTGATAAATCTACCCCGTCAAATCTCTAGTAACCCTCGCATTGAAATTCCCGTGTTGTCAATTGTAGTGTGGGCTTGTGATGCAGTGTTGTGTAGTGTCGGAGCAGACTGATCTCTTCTTGCTCCATATATGGTCGCGATAGGAAAAGGGGTTCTGTGTAAATGAATGTGGGAAGAGTGCAGAATCTCGTGGCAAAATGGCTCTACACAAGGAGTGATGTGGGTGGTGCGGTATCGCGTGCGGGAGGAACGTCTGCTGGGAGCGGCTTCTGTTGCACCAGGGGTGGATGAGGTCTCGTACTCCTACAAGTGGAAAGACACGAGGACTTCATCTCATGGGGGAGATTTTTTTTTGGATCAGCCGAGGGGGGGTATGTTGGAGCATGTCGGAGGCAGGCCATGAAGTTTGACATTTTTGTGAACAATATCTCAATCGGTGCCTCCCCGGAGTGGTTTTTAATTCTCTAACTTTTTATTTTTCTGGTACCGAATCTGGAATAGTAATGGGGATTGTCCTTTATCCTGACGCTCTGTCGGGTGGCAATGGCTTCCCTGCAACTTGACGGTGCAAGGCCCGTGAACAATAATGGCCGATTGCACACGTGTTGTGCAATGGCCTCATCGTGCAGTCTTGGGAAAACCAAACGGCTGCCCCATATCCACAGCTCTGATCTGGCATCCTCCTCGTATGTCCGTTTGCTGTCTTTTTTTTTATTGGATTGCGTGTGAAAATATTAACAAGACACTGCTGGGGGGGGGGGGGGGAGGTGATATAGGAAGGTATTTAATGAAGACTATCCTCACGAATAGTGGCTGTGAGTCGGCAGTGTTTTTCATAATGCATGTTGCGTGACTGGGCACTCGATCTTCTCCCCTCCTGCCTGCGACTGAAATGCTGTCTCCCTCTGTCCTGGTAGCCCTCCTACCCATGAACACTCTCCATGCGTGCCCTCGTGTGTTCCCTGCCTTGATGTAGCCACACCAGACTCTCTCAATCGAAATGGTGATGTGCAGGCAATGTGTTCGATCTCGACGCTCTTGGATCCCAAGCCGGGGGGTGTGGGGGGGGGTTGAGTCCGGTTTGCACTCTCATCGGTGGCCATCGCACACGGGCAGCAGGCTGACCGCAGCCCGAGCCACGTGGTGAGCAGTGCAGCAAAACAAATACATTGTTGTACTCGACTTCCCTATGCGTCCACGTTCGTGCTCTCTGCATTCACCGACCCGCTCTGACCAGCGTGGTGAAGTACGGTCGAATAACCCCTCTAACTGCACGTGTCGTGGGGGCTGGGTGGAGTCGTCGCGCCACGCGGGCTGCGCTTGCGGTCGAGGGGTGGCGACGCCATCGACTGACCTGAACGCCGCCGCCGTGTGTGTACAGGGCGTGAGGTTCGACCCCGAGAGCCCTCAGACCCTACGCCTGGAGTTCGCTCGCGCCAACACCAAGACGGCGAGGAACCGACTGCTGGCGACGCCCAACCCAGTGATGCCGCACCCGGCGCTGGGAGCCCACCTGGTGCTGCGGGACCCGTGTGAGTGCCGGGCACGGGGGGGGGGGGCACAGCTGCCGCATCTCCACCCTCACTGGCAAAACTCGGCCCTCTCATTTAGAATAATTTTTGTTACATTTATCGTGCAACGCATGGGCGGTGACGCGGCCCGGCGGTAGTGCGTTAACCGAGATCGATGGCGCCGCGCCCCCCCCCCCGGCTAATGCTGCCAGTGTACAAAACCAGAAACTTGCCGTGGCACCGGCTGCTTAGGAGTGGACGTTAAAGATCCTGCGGCGTAATTTCAATTGGCACGGTTGGCTACGCACGGTGTGCCAGAGGTGTTCTACATTCGTATAAATTGAGGCCGCTGCAACGAGTGCGTTTTTGGGAGCCGGTGGAGTTTGCCGCCCCAGCGTGCCGAGCCGCGCTTGTGTGCGGTCTGCGCAGTTGATCTGTCGGGCCCCCCGATGCTCTCCCCTGCTGACACCTGGGCCGCCCCCTACCCGCTGTTCGACCTGGGGCCCATGCTACCCTGCGCGTCCTTCGCCTACCCCGCCTCTGCGCTGCCATCACAGGTACGGTGCGAGGTTCGTACGTGCGCGACGGCGATGAACCCATTTCGCCGGATACGCCGAAATAAAGCGCTCTGCTTGGCGTTTCCACACCGCGCTGTGTGCGTCCCGGTGGTGGCAATCCCTAGGCTCTGCGCTTTGGAATTGGAGTTTTCACCCATTGTCTTGTTCTTGACCCCACACTCTCCTCTGCCAAGTCTGTGGCAAGTCTTCATTCCTCGGGCACTTCAAACGTGCGTTTTACCAACTCGCAATGACCAGTGAAGTGTGTCGTCAAGCAACCCCCCCCCCCCTCATTGACCCATACGGGGTGAGGGGGGCCCTCAACAGTGGACTGACAAAGGCTGTCCCATTGTTGGTGACCATGTGCACACTTTGTCCTAAGCATGTGAAATGGCGCTAACCTAATGGTGGAACTGCTGCAACACGGCGTGTTGGTGTGTGCGTGCCGTGTGCCTGCTAGATGCACTGGATATCCCCCTCCTAGGATGAGCCACTGGGTGGGGGAGCGGCGAAGCGCTCCTCGGCCCTGGCGAGGGACAAGGGGGGGGGAGAGAAACGTGGCGAGTGTCGGAGCGTTCGCTCGGCACTCTGGACGTGGTGGCTCGTGGACCCGGTCCTTTCTCCTCGGTGGCCCTGTGCAGCATGGTCCGTAAGCGCTATGAAATTGTCCCTGTCGTTGCCTTGTTGTTGTGGGGCGACACTAATGCGCCACGCACGGCTTGTTTACAAGCAGATCGCGTACTCTAGGAGGTAATACGGCATATCCCGCGGATAGCCCTGCCTGGTCGTGTTGAATGTGTTTTTTAGTCCTTGTTTCTGGTTTGAGTTGAGTAAGAGCAGACTGCATCCGCTGTGGCACGGCTGGTTCTCTAAGGACTGCTGTGCGGGTGTGAGGTTTGCTTGATGAGGAGAATTAACGTGTACCATCCCTCGACAGTCGGATACACCCGAAGATGTTTTGATTGGCATCGTTGGTGAAGTCTGACCCCCGCCGCCCCCCCCCCCCCCCCCCCCCCCCCCCCCCCGGGTGAGCGCTGGATGCCCGAGCTGATGCGTTTGTCCAGTTTGGGGTGGAGATTGGGATTCCTCCTAAATTGCAGATGAGGCATTCCGATTTTTTTCTTTTCCAGTAAATAAAAATGCCTTAAATATGTTCTAAATCTCCAGTCCTTGAAGGCATCGCTGGATTATGGATGGGTGTTCCCCCATGACTTTATTTTAGTCTTGCTATTTGAAAAAGAAATGTTTAAAAATAAAACGTGGCTTTATCTTGATGGCACAATGTATAACTTTAACTGACTGCATCAGATATTGTATTTTTGAGTGGAAAGGTGATGCGTGGGTTGTGCTTGTTCTGTTGCGTGCGACCAACTTTTACACGGTCGGTCGTCTCCAAGGCGCTCTTTAATTTCCACTGGTCGCGAATTTCTCTTCAAAGGTGGATGGGGGGGGGGAGGCAGGCGAGCGGGTGGTTTGTATGTGGTCATTTTGAGTGTCCTCCGTTTTCTAAAAACACGACTGCATAAAAGGAATAAAGTATTTATGTTATTTATCCGAACGAAACTGTTGAAAGGTTTTGGATAATTTTGGCATCTTAAGAGCTACCGCCTGCAAAACCTGTGGCGCGTAACCACGGTAACGGACGACGGCTTTGGTTTTCCTGGTAAGGCAGAAGGACTTAACCGTGACCTGTCCTGCTCTTGTCAATTACAATACTCCAACGGGCGTGTGCGGCGATGGGTTTGAAGTTCTTGGAAATGAATTGAAAATAAAGTATTTTCCTGCATACCGCTGCATATCGTCGTTTGTGCAATTAATTTGCGTCCATTCGCAAGGCGAGCGGTTTGGGATGGACGGCCTGCGCCTCGCCACGGCTCCCGCGGATTGCCGCTTGGGCGGTGCACGGATTCATCTTCTTGGTTCTTTCGGTAAAGTCGCGTAGAAGGAGAAGTAATAAAATAATAAAAATAAAACACGGATGTGCAGGCGAATGTCTCATGAGAGCCGCCTCGCCACACACGGCAAGGTTTCCAAGAGTGCAAGCGTGCCATACTTGCCATGAAACCCACTTAATGTTTACAGCGTGCAGTTCCTGTGCAATGTAACTTCTTATTTGGCTCTGGGAGCCTCAACCCCTTGCTGAATTACTGGGACAGAGTATATACACTTGAACTCTGGGCGTTCGCGAGTGATGGAGTGGGTGAGAACTGGTGCCATGAGATTGCAGACATCCTTAGGCTGTGGCGAGGATGTTCCATCACAGCCGTTAACTCAACATCCCATTACACGCCTGGTATGTAAGCTCACGTGTGTGTATGTAAGCACGCCATCATATGGGTGGGTGGGGGGGGGGTGATTTATTGGGTTTTTGTGTACGCCTACCTACAAAGTTATTATTAGATATTGGGACAGGGGGGCATGAATGTTTTATATATGGTGAGCATTGAGGCATTCTTATCCAAGCATATTGGACGGTCTCTCCCACGAGCTCCGTTAATTTGCGTTGCCAGCTGAGGCTGTTGGCTCAAAGCCTCGTTGCAGTGTGAGCCGCCAACTCCTGCCTCGCGTGGCTTCGTGCGTTTGTGCGGTGACGATGTCCCCACATCGGGGTGGACTTGAATGAGGAGTGTGACTTTGGTAATGGGTTTTGTTTGTGGCTAAACTCTTGCAAATGTCTGACCGTTTGCGCCGTACGTAGCCAACCGTGCTCCTCAGAGGTGCCTCCCCTGGGGAAGATTCGTTTTTTATGTTTTGATGTTTTATTATCCAAGCCTCGCTTTGGTGCCCTAAAAAGGCAGCTGTTGTATAATCTGTGGCATATTTGAGGCAGATGTCGTCTAGAGAATGGGCGGTGTGGCTGCACCAACGGTAACTGGTCGGGGACATCTTCCACCCCATCGCCTATCACCCAGAGGCCTCTTGCTGCGTGACAGAGGTGCGCTCTGCTTGCGGGTGCAGTTCACGGAACGACTAATCGTGGACATTGCCCGGGCAAGCGCTGTTGACCTGTTGCAGATGTCGCAACCACCAGAGATGGGATGGATCGACTGCGCACACGTCACTGGCTTCATCATCGTCACCACACTGCATCGTGAAGCACCAAAGGGGCCTGTATTCTTGTGTCGAGCTGGGACGCTGTCTAATGGCATTTATTTTAATTGGCTGAACATTGTTATCGGTCACTGTTTTTATTGTGCTCTTTTATTCTGGGTACCCTTATTTTAAGGCAGCCACCCGCACACCCTGCCTGGTGAAGGTGGGACCCCCCCCCCCCCCCCCATCCACAATCCACCCCCAGTGAGGCGGCTAAAGGCGTCACCAGTCAGCATTGTCTGTGTGGGTTTTGAAGGTTGGGCTGTGTAGAATGAGGTACAACAATGGATTTACCAGTTAACGTCGTTTTCTTAACCTGCCACCAGTGCAGCATCCATTGGGCACTGCCAATGTGGTCATGGGTGGCAAGGGCAGAAGGCAGTCGGTCACCGATGTGCGGAGACCTGCACCTGCCCGTGTTCGCACGAAGGTGGCGAGTGAAACGCGGATAAGAATAGACGCGATGTAGCAAGCGGGGGGACTGCGGAGCGAACGCTGGCTTCAGATAATAAACACAGCCCCTGGCGCTGCTGCTGCTGCACCGCCTTGTGCCGTGCCACACAGGCACGGGGACCATCGCTCTCCATTGGAGATGCCGCACAAAACGCACCAGTGCTGCGCGCCCGCTACGCGAGGTGAAGATTTTTTGGTGCCGTCGATTATCAACACGCCGCCCTCTGTAATTGAGCAAGTTCTTTTGAAGGGAAGACCCCTGGTTTGCGAAATGAGTGGCACAAAATACATGCAGCGTCGTACACTCGCAAGAATGCTGCTGCGTTCTTCTACATAAACTGATGGCCGTTTCGCGTGCAGCATTTACACCCCCACTCGCCTCCTTCGTCATACTCGATTCTCCAAAAGTGGAGGGAACTGAATACGGACATTTGTGGGGGGTGGGGGGTGGGGGGTGGCGACCGACCAGGCCAGACTCTGCCACGGCACGCCCTGGTCGCGGTCACTCGGGCCACGGTGCCAGGGACTGCGGAAACTCGCTCCCGAATGAATTCACGACTCTGTGTTCGCAGCCACGGGGAGGTGTCCCGGCAGTGCCGACTGTCTTCGCTCCTGGGACACCCGGAGCAGCATGCGCCGCCTCGGCTCCCCCCCCCCCATCGCCTTCCCACGGCAATGTCGTGCTCGCTCTCGCGATCACATCAACACGCTCCAATCGCGAAGAATGCCGGGGACACGCCACTCAAGCGCGTGTTGTTTATTAAACACGATCTGAATAAACACCTTTCCGACGTTACTGTTTTAATCCCCAGGCTCGTGCCTGCTTGACTTGCAATATTGGGCATTCCGAGTGACTTGGTCGAAGGCAGGTTCGTTCCTTTTCAACGTCCTCTTATTCGTGATGGCTTCAGAGATGTCTTGGGTCGTAACCTAAGCGCTCGTTTCTGATGGGAGTTGTGGTCTCCGGTGTCTGATTCGATCCCAGGTGGTATCCAGTTCTGTCCTGATTACAAATGGCCTGCAAGCCATTTGTCACACTGCCAATATCACGATGGTCGTCTGGTCGTGGCAGAAGGGAAAATGACCTCGGAGTCGGAGCCTGCAGGCAATGTTGAGTAAAATATTTGGGGGTTTTAACACCATGCGAGGACTGCTTGAGGGCAATGGATGCATTCCACAGGGGGCACAAGTGCTTTTCTGTTGGTCCAGTGCTTACAAGCGGTGAAAACTGCTGTTCATGTCCAATCGCAGCACGGCGCACATTATTAGGGGTATTAAATCTGCTTTTCAGATGTGTTTTGTCACTTGAATGTCACGAGGTCCTCCGTCACCTTGTCAGCGAGAGACCAAACCCACAAACAACACCTCTCGTGCTGACGGGGGACAGGAGGCAGCGCACACGGGGGCTATAAATGACTGGCCAATGATGCAGGATCAGTAGAAACACCCGATTGCTTTAAATACCGCGTGATTGCAGCGCTCAAATGATGAGGGCCACGCGGGAGGGGCTTCGGGGGAGTAGGCGAGCTTTGTGTACGTGTAGTGACTGCTGGGCTCGCTACATACGCATGCATTTTTCTACACTCTTGACATGGCACTCTCCCAACCGTGGCATGCCCTCTGAGGCAACCCTCGTGTGGATATTAGAACAACCCCAATATCGCCGCCATGACCCCCCCCAACACCCTGGCAAAAAACGGCTGCTTGTCGATGTCGCATTTGGTGAGTGCAGCCGATGATAATGATGCTGCTGCTGCTGTTGTGGTAACTGAATGGCGACATTCTATTTGTGTGCGCGGGGCTGGATGCTGCTGCTGCTGCTGCCCGCGCGTTCTCTGCCCGTCGAGCTCCGCCACTTTGCCCGCCTGTGCCCGGAATGCTTTTAGCGCGCTCCGTGCGTGTCCAGGGCCCTTCAGGGGCTGCTCCCCACCACCTGTTTGATCCCAGAGTTTTAAAAAAGAAAGTTCAGATATCAATGCCCACAATGTACACAATTTTAAAACAAACCGTGCTTTTGCTTACATCAGTTTCCAAATCAATGTACAATAAATATAAAGATTGGCCACGAAGTTTTGAGTTTACCTTTTTTACTAACATTTAAATCCTATGAAGATGTAATCGTATTCCATGTGTATATAACATTCATAAAGCGTTCAAATGTGTTATGTGCATCTCAAGACTTTAGACAGAGGGAGCCATGGTGGAAAGGGAAGGGAGGGAGAGAGACAGCAGAAGGAAGTGGGAGAGAGCGGGAAGCTAACGCTGCCGTGTTCACCAGCAAGGTATGTGTGGGTACGACGAGAAGACGAACCCACGACAGAATCCAAATATGGGGAAATGAAACGTTAAGCCTGGACGACAACAGTTGGCAGACGTACAAGGGGGAGTTTCCAGACAGGGCAGCAGATAACGCTTTGCACAGTCGACTGGGATGATGGTGTTGAG